AACTAGACAAAACGGGTTTTAACAAAGACATTCAGTATAAACTAGTTTCAACTAGACAAAACGGGTTTTAACAAATACATTCGGTATAAACTAGTTTCAACTAGTTAAAACGCGTTCTAACTAAAAACGGGTTTTGACTGTAACATATATATTGATAAATAAAGAAAGAGATATAAAATTCCGACTGGACGTATCCTGAGCAGCACCGAGCGATTAGCATAGGGGATCGAACTCCAAAATAGAATCAAAACACGTTAATTAGTCATAAAATGCAAGTTTAATGAGTAAAATTTGTTACTTTAATCATAAGTAAATTTCAATAAAATCAATTACCACTTTTCATTATTTTCCCTGAACATGCTAATAGTTGCATATTTCTAATCTTCTGATTTGTTGTCAATATGTCAATTTTAATCCTTGATTGGTGACATTATACCCTAAACATAACTCTATTTTTGAACAAATCTCCACCTTTTCAATGTAAATCCATAAGCATTTCAATATAAGAAATGACTTTAAAATCATTTTATTTAATTAAAAATAATTATATTTTTATTATGTCATTTAAGCACTATGTTTATTTAAATTAATTAATATTGCATTTTTTTTTTTATTGAAATACTAGCTTACCCGTCGCGCATTGCTGCGATCTCAGAAGAAAGGAAATTCAAGCAAACTCGTTATGATAAAATTCAATTTACATTTTATCATTTTTATTGAAACTTATTATTATTATTATTATTAATTTTCATGGGAAAAACATTTCAAAGTGTATTTATTTATTGGAGTACTTGATACACTATATTTTTTGTTTTTCCGCCTGGTGCGTACACGAATAAATCAGGTTTTCCGACGCGTGAGCGGGCCTCATACAGTTGTCCATGCAAGAAGCATGGATTCTCCAAATTTAGCCCATACACTCGCAGCGATTGTCAGAAGTGCGATATTCCCCATTTTTATATATATATTTTTTAATCCTTTATAATTTTAATTATTTAATTGCTCCTTCCTCTCTTCCTTGGCACGTTGTGAAATTTCTGAGAGTTGGATAATAAACTGTTTTATCGTAATTTGTCTTTTTAAATTATTTTGAGTCGATATTAAAATTTGGAAAAGGGGGATACCTAGATCGGTAAAATACGCGAATTTCTTCCTACAACTTCGGTTGTTGTTCGGGGTACAGTTAAGGTTTTAACGAAGTTCGAGCGAATACATAATTAGCAAAAAAAAGTTGAAATAAAGTGATTAAACAAAAATTATTACAAATATCGTAAATAACAAATGCATATATAGAGATATTTTTTGAAGGAGAGGAAATGGTCTTCATAATTTGAAATCGATCGAACACACTGTGTGTGAATGCTCGTGTAAACACGCACCATCTATCGTAGGGTAAATGCCAGAAAACTTTGCAGGAGTGTATTAAAAAACTTCCCAAAGCTTCATGGCAATCGTACTATGCCACAAACCTTCGCCAGAGTATATTAAACAACTTCCCAAAGTTTCACGGCAATCGGATAAACGGTGTGGTAATGCATAAAGGACAGACAGACAGACAGACAGACAGACAGACAGACACACACACACACACATTCATTTTTATATATATAGATTAATGAAGTTATATTGAAAATATAAACTCTATTATTTCAATTTTGATTGTATGTAATTTATAAATTAATACAAATATGTAATACTGAATATAAATATTAATATATTAATTTTTAAAAGTTAAAAGAGTATTGTAAGAAATAGAGAATGTATAATGAGTGGATATACATAAAATACATACCTTTTTAATAATTGGGTAAATAATCCATCAGAAACAGGCATAACAATGTAATTAATAATACCATGAAAATTCTCCAGACTTACAAATCCAGTATCATTAGGGTCAAAAGATTTAAATGCTCGTTCTAAAAGATATCCTCTACTTCTAAGCTGTTATTAATAAATAAAAAAGTTTGGCATTAATTTTCTAAAATTTATATTCTACTACAAATTCCTAAATCTGCAACTGTTTTACATAATTTGGCTTTAAACCAATTTTAGATTTATCAAGATATTCAGGACCTATATCATAGTATTATTTGGAAAATTCCATCTGCATGGCAAGCATTCTGCATGATGTTGCTTGTGACAGATTGGTTTGAAAATATAAAAATCCAAAAGATTGTGTCAATCTAGATCTTAAAACCTAAATTTCATTACTTCTTGAATTGAATTGGATTACTGAATGCATGCAAAGAGTGACTGGTTTATATGAAAACTTAAATCATGTATCCAACAATTAAAAATTAATTAATTCAGTTCATACTTAAAGAATTAATATATTTAATTGATAATTACTGTATCTTTCAATTAAATCCAGTTACATTAATATACTATATTTCCTAGATTCTAAGATGCACTTTTTAAATTCATTATTATTTGTCTAAAACAGAGATATACCTTAGAATTGATGGAGTTTTACATTTACAGTCCAAAACTATAATCAGCAATTGTTGCACATCCACAGGGCCAGCTTGACAGGTGAGGTGATGGTGCAACTGCCTCAAGTAGCAAATGAGAGGGATGGCAAAATGAGTAGTCAAGATGTTCGAAAGAAGAAGAAAATAACTAAAAATAAAAATTATAAGCTGAATACAGTAAATGTATGTACTGTTTACACACAACTTTAATGTACAAGAGTGCCAGTGCTAGAAGGGCTCTCTATTGGCAACAATTCTGGAAGAAGGCGAAGCACAAATCAATTTTGCCTCAGATGCAAGTTATCACTGAGCTGGCACTGCAGGTCCACTACACAGTGTACCAATTTAGGTTTTTGTCTATACATCTAAATGATACCATTAGTTCAAATGAGTTTTGCTGATGAAAAAGAAATCTAAATTAAATGCTCCTTAACATTAAAATGTCTTTGAGATATAGGATCCTTCAAAATACCATACTTCAAAAATTAATCATATGAAATGTGACAATACAAGTTATGTATATAGGAGTTTTTACATTTTTTTCCATGGGCAAATTTATGACTCTTAGAGGAAGGAGAAGACATGAGACTAACCTTTGAATTTCTCTTTTAAGATATGCTTTTTTAATTGCATTAAAAAATAATATACTACATACTGTACAGTACATATATATTCTTACATCATATGTTCTGTTCAGTGTATGGCATTTTAGAACACATCAACTGCATATTTCTCATCCATGGTAGGAAATTTGCAGACTTATATAACACTGACCTGGGTCTAATACAGTATGCAAAATTCACATACCATCAGGCATTCTTGGGCTCAAAAGGAGCTCAATGGTATGCATCCCAATGATCTCAGATAGAATCTTGTTATTGGAACTGCATCAAACTATTGGCTGAATCATAGATGCCTCTTTGGAGAGACAGAAGGATTCATGATTGCCATAGAAGACCAAGTCATAAATACAAAAAACTATGGAGTGCATATTTTAAAAGAAACAAAACTTAAAATGGTGGAATGTCTGCACCGTATTACTGTAATCTGACTCGTATCTATAAACCTTTTACCGGTGCGTGTAGAGTGTGATGATACGCGCACCAGTAAAAATTTTATAGATACGAGTCGGAAACAAAACTTGTAGAAAATGCCACATTAAGCACAAAACTATACAACATATCAATCAGGTTGCAAGTTTTTAACACAAATTGACTACTTACATTGACATAACCAAATGGCAAATATAATACATCAAAAGCTTGCATACAAACACAAACTACTACAATCCAAGAACTATACTACATACTACAAATTATACTCCTCAGACAGTCAGAGAAAACAACATACAAAATATACTATGACTGAGCTAAAATCACAGACAAGACAATCCATCATAACAGACCAGACACTACATTTGTTGTTAGACAAACAAAATCACATACATCATAGATATAGCAGTTTCAAAACATCCACTATATACAAAATATATACACTGAAAAAATTAGTAAACATTCAGAACTTTCCCATGAAATAAAGCATATGTGGAGAATGGATAAAGTACTTATTGTACTATAAATCCTTTCTTACACAGGGTCATACCATATACATTACACAAAAGTACAAAACTATAGAGCTTCAAAACAGCACAGTATGGAAGGCAACCATAATAAACACATGTCATACAGTTAGGAAATTTTTAAAGACAGATATATACAGGAACAACATAAACAAAACAGTTTTTTCTGTACTTATGTCTTGACTTTGGTCTGGTATAGCACTAGGCATGGTATAAATGCCAATTTGAGTACGTATACTTCACCAACACATTATAATAATAAAATAACATTTACTTAATTATAAATGTTACAGTACATTATATAATAAATAAATTGCATACTTTATGCTTAAAAACTTCTTTTATTTCATCCAGAGTTAGTCCATGAAGAATAGGATCATTATGCCCTTCTTGTGCTGCTCTTTTTTGCAATTGTTCCATTCTGAAATTATATATAAACAAAAATAATAAACAATATCACCAGATTTTAAGTGAGTTATAATATGGCCAATTAATTATACAGATAATACTTAATTTGTACTTTAATCCAAACTGAGTATTACAATACTAGATCAGACAGCTTCCAGATACTGGATTATCAGAAAACCAGCTATTTAAACTATATAGTTCTGCATTTCAAGGGCTTTGATACTTTTGCCACACGGCAGGGCCCGCTCTAGCGCTTACGTCACCCCGGACAAAAAGACAAATTGCCGCCCCTTAAGAATATATATATTTTTATAAATAAATGTGCATATTTTTTTATTTTTAATAAAAAGCAAATCATTTTATTTAAATTTTAATAAAAGCATATATTTAGAAAGAAACAATTAAGGCTGGTATACACGGTAAGGAAATCCTCAAAGGATGTGCTTAACAGACGAAAAAAACTCGGATATAACTGGCTGGATCGAACATAGTAATTTACAAAACTTATTAAAATATCTCCCAACGTATAAAGAATTATTTTTATTTAAAAATGGATAGATAGAAAAAAAAATCACAGTTAATCCTCAAAGGATTTCCTTACCGTGTATAACAGCCTATAACATTGATAATCAAGCAGTACAAAACAGTAGAAATTAAGAAATATCTGTATCTAGCCACAAATTGTTAACCATATCATTTTTTACATTTTTATATGCTATTAAAAATGTATTATTGTACAAACAATCAAAATGCCATTATTTTGAAAATAAAACAAGGGAACGTCAACTCCGCTAAAATCACAAAAAACTTTTTTTCTTACTTTCAATTCCGCTAACTTTTTTATTGTATCTTTTAAATTTAGTCGATCAGCAATTTCATGCTCAATTGCCAAAATGGCTAAACCATTAAGACAATTTTGTGTACTAGTCGAACGTAAAAAGTTCTTAATTAATTTTAACTTAGAGAAACTCCTTTCTCCACTCGCTACAGTTATTGGTATCGTTAGCAATATTCTTAAAGCAATAGCAAGATTTGGGGCAAAATTTAACTTTGTAATTAAGCTCAGTACATTGCTTAGGCTTTCTTTTTTGCCCAAAAGCGCAGATACTACTGAAATTTCCTCCACTAATTCTACCCCATTTATGTCAACAGAATCACCATCAGTTAAAATGCATTCTAAATTCTTACAGTGTTTTAGTAGCATTTCTTTGGACACGATATTTAAATCGTATATGTTATATAAGAATTGAAAGTAGTTACTATGATTACTAAGTTGTTCAAATCTTGCATCTAGTGCATTTAGTGCTTGATCGATTGTAAAATAAAAAAAATCTATTTTATATTTTTCTTTTGGATCTTTGATGGGTTCATCTGGTGCTTCGTATAAGTTCCTTTTCCTTTTTCTAACGCGGTGTCGTTATTGTTGATCCAAAATTAGCTTCCGCATCAATTTCGGTAGCGAGTTCTTTTGCATCGATAATAGTTTCATCGAAGGACGAATCCGATCGAAGATTCTTAAAAAATATGCTGCAGTTTTGTAAAAGATCAAGTGCAAAGGCTAGATTAAAATCTTTTGTTTGCATCAACTTGCTTATTGGATTAATGCAATTTAGTATTTTATGCCAAATAACTAATGAACACAAAAACTTAAATTGTTTAATACAATTTAATAAACCCGAGGCCTCGTCTCTTATTAAATTATCAATTTCTTGGTTTTCGTAAATGCTTAGCAAGGTGTCGTATACATCTCCCAAATGAAATCTCAAAGGCTTTAAGGTCTCTATTCTACTCTCCCATCTAGTGTCACTCAATGGTTTCAAAGTTAAACCTTGAACATGTTTTAAAAGTATTGCCCATCGAAAAGTAGATGGCGGAAAAAATAAATATATTTTTTGGACCGTGTTGAAGAAATTAGTGGCTTCCAAGGATGCCTTTGCCATATCATTAACAACAAGATTGAGAGAGTGGCTACTACACGGAACATAGAATGCTCGCGAATTATATTGTTTAATTCTAGATTGCACTCCTACTTTATCGCCCTTACTTACCTTTAAAAATTAGGAAATCGCATTTAAGTAAATTTTATGAACTTCCACTTGTTATCACTACCAACTTAACAGCGAAAATAATGCTATTGTGTAATGAAACAGCTCTTTTATAATTAGAGGTAAGTATAAGCGAGTCTATGCATATTCCAACACAAGCTGAAGCAGCGCTCTGCTCGCGTGATGATGCTATTCTGTTCAAAGAAGTATGTGAGATGTCTAGGGATCTTCAGCTCGAAGACCTCACTCCCGTGACACCAATTTGTGAGCTACCGGGGAGGGAAAAAGATCCTCTCCTTGCCGGCCACGGGTCAATGACCTACTTTCTTGTCAAGGATGGCGTGGGAAAATTCCTCAGGTGACCAATTGTTTTAGCAGGTGTGAGGTTAAAGATGGCGTTAGAATGACAACAATATGACGAATTTCGTCGATACTTGTAAACTATATCTGGTTTGCTCGTGAGAATGTTTATCGTTACATAGAGTTATAAATTTCTCATGCACTTTATATTTCGTTTTTTGTAGGGTCAAATTCCTCTAGTTAAAGGAATTTTATTTAAATTTATTAAAAATTTAAAGGATTAATTTCTTTTATGAAATTATATGAACTGCGAATTTCACAAGTATATGCGTGTTCGAACAAGTTTGAGCATCGTCCTTTACAAATTATGCGTTAATTTTTCAATAATAGTGTAAATATTTTTAGCTTTTAGACATAAACAATATAAATACGATACGCACTGTAAATTTTTAGACAACGAAAAAAATCGATACGTGAAATTTTCTATTAATTGAGTATTTAACACATCAATATTTTTCTTACACTTACAGCCAAAATGGCGCCCCTAAACTTTGGCGCCCCGGACAAATGTCCGGGTTGCCCGCCCCTGGAGCGGGCCCTGCACACGGATACTTTTTTCGTTTTTCATAGTGTGTCACACATCAGTTTCAGTGTTACTGCTGGCATATGGTGTGTTAAAAACAGTTTCATTCTTTGCTTTCCAATGTTTACTTTACATTTTAAATATATATGTAGCAAAAATATGGATTTCTGGTCCCAAGCTTGCTTGATATTTAATCCAATACTGTATCTGTATAATTAATTGGTCATATTAGAGCCCAATTAAAGTTCGGCATTATTTTATATGTAATATTATTATATTTGACATATTTTTTTATTATTTAATACACTTTAAAATATAAACTAAACAATTCTTATAATGTTTACATTACTGAAAAAATTTTTCTCATAAATATCAGAATTAATTTTTCTATAAATTTTTAAAATTTAAAATTTTCGAGTTTAGAAAGACATTCAAAAAGAAAAACTAAAAACTGATATAATCTGACAAACAGCAATTTATGCTTGTACATTCTACTATCAGTACCATATTATATGAAGTATGAAGCTTCTGACAGCAATTAGTTATCTGTTTGGTACATATGATTCAGTCAGACAAGTCTGTAGAAATTTGTTAACCTTCTTTGATTAAGTATACGAGATATTTTCTAGAAATACAAAACTGAGCTCTGCAGTATAGATTTTTCTGTTTCAGCTTCACAGGAAAACACAAATATGGTGACATGCTTCTAATGTTCTGTATAAAGCAGTTTAAATATACACAGATTCAGAGGAGGATGTGCATGTCCAATGTCGTAATTGACAAAATGTCAAGGAATGTGTGTAAATAAAACATGCACATGTGCAGCCACAGGCATTGCATGTTAAATGTCCATTGTAAACATCAAAATAAAAAATTGTTATAAAGATCAATGTAAATTTCCAGCAATTGAATACTCTATTGACATGTAACATGTGACCAGCTTACAACTGGTAACTGGTCCATATTACTTTACAAGAGGCAAATTTTTATCTCAAATATCTCAGCCTATACATCAAATTTCAAAATTCTGGCTGTCATGACATCAATCAGGCTTGCTAAGTTGTACACATTTGTGAAAAATTATGTTTAGTGGTCATGCAGTTGCTTTGTACTTCAATCACACATAAAACACATTCTGAGTTATGAAGAGCTCCACTTACACTCTGCTTGGTAAAAGTAGAGATACAGATACAGATACAGATATTTTTTATTGATAATATACCAAAGGTACATTCCCGGTACCGTTTACACACAACCGGGTGAGTCGTGACAATGAATACAGATTACAAGGAAAATTGGTAAGAGGACAAATACCATAAATACAAACTGTTGGAGATGAGTAACTAAGTCAAACTAATAGATGGCATAAGTACTGTACAAGTTTCAGAATTGAGATAAGTAAAACATATACAAAATAATTGGTAAAAGTACATTTGCTCATAAGATGGAAGAAACTATGATATAAGAAACTGACTATGAATATCATTTGTTTAAAATTTAGAATTATATGAGAATCCGCACTTTGACAAAAAGTTTGTCATCAATAAAATCATACTTGCATAATTGTTGTCCTCAGCTACCTGAGAAAATCTCCACTTACACTTTCCTGACAACTGCTGACCTTTTGGCTGGGCGATATCGAACTGATATCAACATTGTCAGCCGAAGAGGGAGTCGTCACCTGTTCCTTCCAGAGTAAAGTCGGCATCCAACTTTCTCCAATTTTTATAGTGTTAGTGCACAAACCTACCAGATGGTATATTTCATCTGCACATCAACTCGCTTTTGGATATTTTTCTACTACAGCCTCTACATACAAACTATTGGATACTGTTGGAATCAACGATTGCAATGTTTTGTAATGTTCTTCTGACATAATAAAAGGCTGGTGGCGCTCTTGACCCCTCGGAGAAGGTGACCTCATTTCACTTCTCCTTTCTAGCGCTGACCTTCCTTGAGTAAAGACTGTGTGTAATCATTGTGCACTCTCTGTTCTTTTGTTACACAACCGGTTACATTAACCCAACTGCCTTTTTACTAATCTCTCTGACAAGCAACATCTAGTCCAGTGTTTCTCAACGGGGGCGATATCGCCCCCGTTGAGAAACACATGGAAAAACACCCACATGGGGGCGATATCGCCCTCATGTGGGTGTTTTTCCATGTTGAGGGGGCGATTAGTAACAATTTATATTTTGGGGGCGAAAAACAATTTTCTGGGCAATATAGTAAAACATTATTATATTAAGAATAATTAGATATTTTATTTGTTATATCATACAATAATTAGACAAATAACATTATATAGTCACTAGTCTATTCGATGCAGTACGAATTTGGTGTTAGCCTTGGCCCTGGGCATTGGAATTTTGAAGTGAAGGGAGCGATACTACGTAACGGTTTTATTGAAGGGGCGATACTATGTAATGGTTTTATTGAAGGGGCAATACTACATTGAAGGGGCAACGATTCGTTAGAGGTTGAGAAACACTGATCTAGTCTAACAGATACTCCACCTTTTACCAACGATTTTAAACAAGATTAAACTGGACATCAGCTACAAAAGGTATTTATCACCATGCAAACCTCATATAAACCCTCTCTCGTACAACCACTCTGTTAAATAGGCCAGTTAATCTAACATTATGACATGTATCCTGTAATCTTTTTTTTTTTGACATTATTAAACAGTTATTTGTTATTAAACTTAGAGTCTGAGTGCAGTACTTCTGGTGCACTGTCTCTCAATCCATCTCCATCCCAAGTCCAATTACCCACACATGCATCCGCTCACGCAATCTACATCAAATCCGAATTAATACACCGTCTCAGCTTCCCTGTCAACAAGGCACGGTGGTGTCAGTCCTGACAACCCTATGGTCACAATTATAAATAATTTAATAAGTCAAAAAATCTTTCATGAAATTGTTCAAATGTAAATATTTCAAAATAAAATTCATTTTGAAGGTTATATTGTGGCCGTCAGCCATCATATTGTATATTTTGTATCTATTAATTTAGTTAGTCTTAGCCTTTTCTTTGTTCCTTTGTATTTGCTTTTTATAGAACTTTCCTTTTGAACCCTTTTCCCTTGGATGGGATTACCGATTCCAAAAAATGAGTAGTAGAACAAAAGAAGTAAGGCCCTGGGACCAAGAAAATGAGCGGAGAAGCAGTTTGGGCTCGAATTCCGAAGAGTAAGGACGAAAAAGAAGTAGTGCTCCAGATTGAGTATAAGATGATTGGAGACTATGAGGAGCCAAGGAATCGATAGGAAGGAATTCCTATAAGAGAACTTTGAAGGAAGCTATTGAAAGAATCATACGAAAGGTCTACAGGAAGGATGAGAAATAATGTTCCAAGGAAAGCTCCAAAGAGGTGTCCCACCCAAGATTACAAACTCTAAGAAAATTCCGGGTATTTACATCTTCCTCTTACACTATTCTTATTTGTCTACTCTCTTCTTCCTTCTTTAGTTGTAAATAGTATAAGTATTAGTTATAAGTTTCGCCCCCATGTAGTCGTCGCCCTCAATTAACCCGCTGTTTGTTAGATCAAATTTTAATGACTGTGTGTACAGAAACCATTTGTAGTGTTGGGATCGAAAAGAAAAAAGAACCTGTTCGAAGTGATAATAAATTACTTTGTGTTGAAAAATCTAATGAGTATTTATTTGTATCATTCTGCTCGCGAGACCTTGTACTTGTTGCAATGAACATCACAATATTTTATATTTTGAATAATAATTTTGTATAAGTTGAAACTATAACACATAACTTAAATAAANGATGAAATGTTGTAAATTTAAACTTTTGATAAAACAGTTTGATTTGAAATTTTTAAAAAGTTCATAAAAGTTTTTTGATTTATAAGTATTAAAATTTTTCAAGAATATAAAGAAATCTGTTCTTTTTATTTATTGTGAATTATATATCTTACAGGCTTGAATCTTCTAGTTCCAATTCTGGATTTACTTCTAACAGAATTTCTTTTATAAATCGAAATACAACTACAACTACTTTAGAAAATATTTCTCTAGATTCTAACTTCGCATGGCTTCTCTGTGCACTATTTCTTGCGATGAGCTGGGTGATATATATAACATATTATAATTCAAGGATAATTGGTTATATAGTTACTAAAATAGTAAATCGTTTTGTAAAGAGAGGATATATTACTTAATTTTAGTCATTTCTTCTTCTGATAATTTTTCTGGCCAACGTAAAGTCTTCTCAACTATATCTTTAGGCATTAGATACTGATAATGTGCCACATTTACACCCAATCGAATAAGAAAATCTTTATAATTAATAGTGTTATTATGTTGAGGATCGTAATGACGCATAAGCCTAATATAAATATAATATTTATGATTTACTGACTTTCATATTTATAAGTAATTATTAACATTAAATAAAAACATTTAATATTTTAAAAACAAGCTAAAGAATTATTGCTTACATCTTAAACTGAATGTCTGTTAAACAACAACAATAATTTTCAATTATTTTTCGTAGTTCTCTAGTCTGAATTTTTCCATCTTTATTTACATCATGAAGCCACATTCCTTGAATGACTTTTATTAAATTTTGTGATATCTATTAAAACCATAAATAAATTTTGTGTTATAATGTCAGAATTTGTTTATTAAATAATTTCTTAACAAATTTGTTGATTATATTTTAAACATTATTTCAATATGCTTTAATTAAATTCTTTAGATTATAAAATATATTATAAAATTATTATACCATAAAATAAGATTTATTGAAAGCAACTAAACTTCAGTAATCTCAAATTTTTCTGTCTTCATTAAATATTAATTAATGGGATTGTTTGTAACATAATAGAAACATAGGGTAAATGAAACTTTGGAGTTCATGGAGAAGTTCAAGGTGTTTCCAATAAACTTATACTATTTATTTATCTACTTTTTATTTCTTATAAAACTTAGAAAGTTTATTTTCTAAGTGACACATTAAAATATAAATTATATATTAATATTCAGTGTGTAATGAATAAATTTAAATTGAAAAACTTGTTATTTGACAGTATAATTTAAATAATTTTTCATTACTATCATTGCAAATTCTGTTACCCTCCCTTCTACAAGAAAGATTACAGAGTTTGCAATGATCCTAATAGTTAAATAAAATACAGTGGGTGATTGGTTAACGAACATAATCCATTCCATGACTTTGTTAGCTATCCGAACTGTTCATTAACCGATTATCGATTTACCATAGGTTTTATGGGAATTTGATTAATTCATTCTGGAGACTCCAAAAAATAAAAAATGTACACTTTTTTACTACGTTTATTTATATGTAATAATAAAATACATATATACACAGTCTTGCATTTTTATTAGTCATGTTTTTTTCCCATTTGTGGGGGTTAAAGAATCTGTCTAATGTCGATTGCTTTTCTCTCTTCTTTAGGATTTTTTAGAAGTAATTAATAGCATTGTAATTGTAGAGATCCCTAAGCCCATTAACCTCAACCTGGTTTGGATGACATTCTAAGACCATTGTTCTGACATCCTCCCACTTCTTCAAAAGATGTTTAATAGCAGATATTGGCATCAATCCTCTTTTTCAGAAGAAAGCATATCTCATCGAGTTTCTTGGTGTTCTTCATTCAAAAGTTCATGTCATTCTTCAGTCGTCAGATCAGTTTCATGTTCCATTATGAGCTCTTCAATGTTCTTTATTTCTCAGATGTGATTTTTGTTACTCCTTAAGCTGCTTGAGTCTTCTTGATTATACTGTATCTTTCTTAGATAAGATTGAATTGTGGTTAACTGTAGACCTGTTGAAGCTATACTGCCCAGCAACATCAGACATCTTCTGCCAACTCTCTACCTTTGCTATTATACTATCACCTTTCAAAAATAAAAACCAATACAAAACTTAACGAGTGCCCACCTGACAGTCTTGTGAATACTATAAAAAAATTGTTTCTGTCAGAAAAATAAAAGACTGGAATTACAAGGGAGAGTTTCAAAGTTTGGAGGAATACTATCTGATCAGTATATACCAGGTTGAGCGTCAATGTTGCTATTTCCCATGCTCCGAAAAGTTCTGAATTGTTGCCTGAAGAGAAGGGAAGACCAATTGGTATTCATTATTTTACGTTGCTTTCTTCTTGTGTTTGTTCTGTGAGGTGTTCATTGTCTGAACATAAAAATCTTTAGTGAAAGTGTTCATTATCAAATTTGTTCATTAACTGATCACCCACTGTATTATTGTATTGTAACTAAACACTACTTTATGCTAAAGTAAATCAAATATTGAATAAAATATCTTAAAAATTTTCTTAGTTTTATTAAATCACCATATAAAACACTATCTCTAAAATAATTATCAATTTACCTTATGCTTGAGTATTACTTCAATTTCTTCTATTGGAATAATAGTTGGAATGCTGATAAATAATAAATAAATGTTATTAATTACTTTATAAGTATTATTATAAAGTTCAAAAATAATTTTAAATAAATTTAAGAATATGTTAAAATAAAAACAAAGATATTCAGTTTGTGCATCCAAGAGAAGAAAATAAATTCAAATTTCATAAGTTAAATTTTTAAATTTTAATCATTTAAGTTTTCACATCTTTACATCTAAGAAAACTGGAAATTTTAAAATGAAACTATGAAAAATCTCTATTAACAAAACATTTCATTTCATAATAGTTCAAAATTATAAATTTATGCAATTTATATGGTTCATAATTATGGACTGATAATCAATGATTCAGAATATCTGAGTCTTGTATTTCAACTGAATAATATTTAACTGTGAAAAAATTAAGTGTATGTCCAGCAATATATATAAAATGTTGCACATACATATTATGTAAAATATTTTCTGAAATTTCTGTTAAAACTAAATAGAAAACTGAGTAGACCCAAGCTATGTTGTTATGTAGTCAAACAAATATTGATTGATTGGCTATGTTTTATATCATCACTTCAAGGTTTATGATGTTTTATAAAAAAGAACACTGTTTATCCATTAGCAAATAATATTTACAATAGCAGTGGCGTGCCATGGCATTTGATGATAGGATAGCTGTGTTTCTGTAAGAAGTTGACTTCCAGGGTAGATCAGTTAATTCTTTAAATGTATTTTTAATAGATTATTTATCTGACGTAATTAATAAATAGTTATTAATAAAGTTCAATATAATTACCTATGTTATTAGATTCAATATATTCCCTATGCCCTCTAAATGCCGATTCTTGCTTTCATAAAAACATATAGCATCTATTAATTCAAATATATCTATTAGCCATAACTATCTTGTCATAATTTTCAATATTTATTTTATATTATTTACTAATGTTAAATTCTATTCCGCTTTTATTTCCAAATTGCTTCAAATACGAAAGAATGTCTTTTGCCAGCTAAATTGTCAAAGCCATTCTTATTCCACACACTAATTTCATTTGAAAATAGTAGGCAAGGCCAAGAAAACAATTTTTGCATTTTTATGCATTACAGAGCCATTTTATCATGAAAATGTCAAACAAATTTTTTAGTAAAGTGTTTATATTTAAGTTAGGCATTGGTCTTTCTCTTTTAATAATGTTTTCTTTTTCATTATATGATCTCGAGCCAAAACTTTTTTAAAATAAATTTTCAACATTGCAATTACATTCTGAATCGCTAGCCACATTATAAAAATTTACTTATTGAAATAAAATGTGTGGTGGATATCCATACCTGGTACAAAATATTCTTCAATTGTATGAATATACTTTTAAAGAAAATTATAATTAAATATAGCTTTGCAAAGAAACGTACATAAAAATAACAAAATCTTCTTTAATTTTTAAATCTTTACCATTTTGTCAAATAGCTCCCTATGAGTGGAATCAGAGACGGTCCTGCTAGGTGTGCGGTGCGTGCATTCACAAAGGCTGCCAAATCCTGAGGGTGCCAATACCGGTTAATGTCAAATGCCTCTTTTGTCACATCACTAATATACCTCAAAAGACGTGACAGGATTGTTGTAAATTTTAAATATTTCTCACCATAGCTGTAAAAATCTAAATACATTAAACTTAATTGTCATTTGTTTTCTAACTAATTCATTTTAGGACCAGGTGTCCATGGAAATTTCCAAAATTTACAACTTTTCGGTCACTCTTGTTGAACTGGAAAAATTTCTGTTTATATTACATCTAATATTACGAAGAAATCGGTCCCTGCTGTACTCGGCTAGATTGGGTCGGGTTTAAGTAATATTCCGGCTCTTTTTATTTATGTCCCTAATTCCCTAATATCTTAATTATTTAACTACTTCTTAAGTTATAAGTTGAAACTGGTTACTTTGTACTCGAATATTTGTAGTCTTGGGAAAAAGTGGAAAGACAAATTTTTACAACAATAGATACATAAATCGTAAATTTAAGGAAAATAAATTCTAGAGATTTTTCTGTACTTCATGCATCTCTCTCATTCATTAAATTTAGTTGTAAATGATGCTGTGAAAGTAACAGTTAATTTTTTAACATTGTACAAGAATTGTACACGTTTTTTTCTATATCCCCTTATAGATGGGACATACGAAATCATAATATCACTGGTTTAACATTGAAATCCGTGAGTAATATAAAATCAGAGAGTAGAATAAAATTACCAAATATTTTAATGGATTTTTTTTTAACTCCTGTCAACTATGCAGAACTATCATAAAAACATACCAGTAAATTCTTATCAGTTGGGTTAAGTTATAAATCTACTCATGATTCACATAATCAGGCAAGGGCGGCCAAATATCTAGCAGGCAGGCAGCTAACAGCCCGGAACTGGTACTGGATAGAATTGGATGCATTATACATGTAGCATCCACCCAAGGTCCTAGGCTTCCACCAGCTAAACTCTGTAAAGTGCATGCACGAATCTGGCCTTTTGGATGCTGACAATACAGCACTTCCACTCTGCCACTAATATTCGAATATACAACAACAATCTTATCTTTTTCTTCACGTGTAGTATAGAAATTTGTAATAAGATACATAATGGGGTTATAATAAAATATTGTGTGATTATTTTCATATAATTAAAATTAATATGGATTTATTTTTTAGAAAATACAAGGGAAGCGGCGCATCCACCACTTCCAATGACGGCACGCCACTGAACAACAGCTTGTTAAGTACTTTTGTGGTCCCAATGACTTTTTTTTTTAGCTAAAACTGATTGAAACATAAAACTGGAAGATTTTTTGAATAGCAATTTAAACAACTTTTTTCAGTTTTCTTGTCCTCTCATCAGTTTTGTTATCCTTATAGTAGTTTATAGAAAATATAAGTTTACAGAACTTTTCTTAGACTTGCCTCAGATGCAAATTGTTTGCAGAGATCTACGTAATAGAAACAACTCATTGAGCTGTTTAACATTTTGGTCAAAGAGACTTATGTGTTTTGCAGATAAACAAACTGTTATTTGCAAAATACTATAAATCAAAATTGATGATACACAGTAGCTACTGTGGCCGTCAGCCATGATATGTTATATTTACTATATATTTTTTTGTTATATTAGTATTAGACTTCCCTTTCTCTTTGTCTAAAAACCATCTAGAACTTTCTTTTCCCTAAACCTTCCTATAATTTTCTTTGTTTGAACCCTTTTTGCCCTTGGGGGGATTACCCTTTTCGAAGAAATAAAGAACAAAGGAGAAGGGAGTGAGGCCCGGAGGCAAAAACAGAGAGAAAGACCTGTTCAGTGAGAAAAATAATACTTTGTGTCGTGAGACTTTTTTTTGTACCATTTCGCTCGCGGGATCGCGTACTTCTCACTCTGAACACCACACTACACATGCCTTTAGTTCCTTTGCTAAAAATGCCAAATGATCAAATGAATTGTTTCTGTTAAGATAATAAAACTGGAAATAGGAGGATTATGAAAACACTATTTAAGTTTATATTTTTTATGCACTAAAGACATTTTTCCAATAACCAGCCAATAAAAGAAGTCTTTTTCAGTGTCATTAAAGATAATATTTCCAAACTATTTAATGACAGCAGGTTCAATAACTAATTTATGGTAGAAGCATCAATTACTCAAAATTGAAGAAATTATGAAATATATTCAATGATATCTGTATTTAATAAGGTAAAAAATGTATTATAAGTACGGATATTTGTTTAACATTAGTATACAGATGGTAATATGATTTTACGTAATTTTTATGTACTTTTAAGCATCTTTTCAGTAGGCCAAAAACATAAAATAAAACAAAATTGAAAGTATATTTTCTGATTGTAATTCTGTCACGTAATTTTACCATCTATATTCACGTCAACAGAAGTAATTTTTTGTAATAAATTCTATAGAATAGTTTTATTTAATAAACAGCATTTAAATAAATAATAATAAAATATGAAAGTCCTGAAATTTTAATAAATGCAGTACATTTTATAAATCTAATTTAATAAAACAAGGGATTACTTACTGTTCATGGGGCATAATTGTTTCCTGTAATTTGTCAAATTCTACAAAATGACTTAGAAATTCCTTGTATTTTATTTGAGCATCTTCAGAATAATTAAGCTAAAAATAAAAACAAAAGAACAAATATAAAAAATTTTATCTTCAAATCTATTATTAATTTTTTACAATAAAACAATATATTATATTCAATCAAATTTATTACAGAGAGCATTTTCAATAAGATTACTTTAAATTGAAATAAAAAATTATATCTAACCTCTTTCATAAGTTGACAAAACTGTGTATCAGTTAATGGAATACAATATGTTCTCAATATTTGTTTCAGCTGTGATTTAAATACCAGACCAGATGCTCTTTTATCATAATTTCTAAAAGCCTGTTTGTAAATAAATAAAGGATGAGATAATTAATATATATGTGAAAATTTTAACAAAAAAAAAAACAATTTATGATTTTTGTTCATTAAACAGAAACATTTTTATTAAATTAAAAATTATTATAAATGAAAAAAATATGGAAACAAATCTTGTTTCTTCTTATAAAATAATTTGTTTTTAATTTATAGTGTGATGTTCATAAAAGTGACACTGTATGGTCCGCGAACGAAAAGGTACAAATAAAAGGCTCTACGACAATTGTATATTCACAGTCCCGTTCCTTTATTTCACTTTGAACAAAATAATAAAAAAAAGAATCCCAACTTATTTTATGATGAGTTACAATCAGGCGTGATTTCCACGAAGGACTCATTGTCCCAAACAAAGCAGGATGGCGCACCTGTCCCAATCACATACAATAAATTTCTGATAAGTGCATACTTACATTTAACTTAACTCTAACTTAATACTAATGAAAAAAAAATGATGAAGGTAGAATAATAGGAAAGAATGAGAAATGAGACGATTCATCCGGGATTTCTATATGTTTGGTTGATCAACATCGTGGGTAGGACCTGCTTCTTTTATCGTGACCTCCGTCTTCATGATCCTCTCTACTCCAATGTTCTTCAGAGCTCTTCACGAGACGTCCGACTTCCTTCATGTCTCGTTGAAAACTCCCCTCTCTCCTCTTAGTCACTCTTCCTCAGGCCACCTTCTTTCTATTGTCTTTCCCTGATTCTTAGAACTGCTAATCCTACCCACAGGCGATAATGGTCTTTGGAAAGTTTTAGGAAATGAAAGAACAAAGAAACAAAGAAAAGGCTAAGACTTACAAAAAATAAAAATTACACATATTCGATATTATGGCCGACGGACACAATAGTGCTATGATCATGTAGAATACAGAATTAATATTAGATGTATGGGAGAATATATTTAATGTAGGAGAACCAACAATGGTTAATTAATTTTTCCTTATGTTAGCAAGTTGTATAACTCACAATATTAGTGGTCTCTTTATTTTATTTCCCATGATAATATGTAAGCATCTTTTAGATTTTTATATAATATTAACAAAGTAATGGAAATATAATAATAAATAAAATTTAAAATATTTTAATCTAAAAGTAGTTCAAATTTTTGAACTTATTCTATAAAATTTTTAATACTATATTTCCCAGAATAAGAATAGAACCAATGTGCTAGATCTTGAATATGTATCAAACTATCACCATAGTTAAGGGATTATAACAATTGTATTATATTGTATTGGGCCATAATTATAGGAAAATAACAATTTTGGATTGCCGTTAATTTCAAGTTATCATGCATGGATAATAAACATATATTCAACATTTATACTAAATATGTAGCCTATATGCAGGGGTCATGCTGCATAGTGTCAAAATCACCACTTAGTGATATTTTTATTAAAATGGCAATAAAAATATAATACTGGTGATAGTAAGTGGTGAATAAAAACCCTCATCTGCTTATTTTGACATTCAGCATAAATCACAAAACAAACTTCAGAAAAAACAGTAAAATGTCTAGTTACCATACAATTGGAGTCTTGTGCACAAACCTAGAGATTTCTTGATATCATGCGACAAGTTTGGGCAAAAAAAATAGAAAATGTCATAGAGAACAGAAGGCAGTTTTTGCAATGTCAACTAGCATTTCCAGATTAGGGATTTTTTTTATCAGCTAACACAAAATTTTGGCTATTTTTAAGTAACTTTTTTTCTCTTCAGTCTATTTTTAATAGACAAAAATAAACATTTTGACATGACAAAACATGTGAAGTATTGTTTAAATATTGTGATCAAACGTGTTATTTTGAATTATTCAAAAAGGATTCCTATTGCTAACAAGGAGAGGGCCAGACATTCAGGTCTCTGATTCAAATGGAACATGATGAGCACATAGCCCTTAACACAAACAGCTCCTTGTTCAAATAATAGGACCCACTTCTCAAGCATTTTTAAAAATTAGGTCTTCGAAAATTGATTGTTTAGCTTATAAGTCTTTGGAAGTTTCATATCTACCACTGGCACTAGCCAAGTGGTTAACTCTTTTGAGTCATTAAATAATAAAACTTTTATTTTTTCACATTTATTTTCACATATTTTACATACTATGTCCTTACAAGCGAATAAGCTTCAGACATTACTGCACATGGATGAAAAAGGCAAGTGATATGAAAATAGCATAGTCACAGCATTTTATTGTTTTAATTGTTAATATTATGGATAATTTCCTCATTTGCTTATGTTTGTTATACTTCAAATACCAACCATATCTGAAAATATATATATGAAGAATTAAAAATTTTATTTAACAACATAAAAGAGTTAAATCTAAACAGACTTGTTTTTGCTAAATAGGAAATGACGTTATGATTTTAATCTTTTGTTTTATAAGTTTTAAATGTGAGGAATAACAATATTAATAGTAATGATACAACAAAATAATAAAATAATTATGTTACACATAAGAAAAAAACAAAACTAAACTAATATTTGGAAGGTTCGAACCTATATCATCTGGCCCAACATTTTTCAAACTTCTTGCTTACACCACCCAATATATTTGTTTGTAATGGTTCTGCAACCAAAATGTTTATAATGTAAAATTTTTTAAAAAACCTGGTAAATCAGAGCCACCATATATTACATAACAAAATAAAATTATGCTTTAAATAACTTCTATGTGTGGAATGTGACATCAAGTACATTTCTATTAAGAGAACAGTTCAGGCCAATTTTGATTTGTAACAAATAACTTACTTCAATTTCAGTTTTTATCACTCAAATTTAACTAGTAAAAAAATCTAGCAACGAGTTACATAACTTTCCCAGCTTTTATGAGATTTTATTTTAAAAATAACATTTCTATTATTAATCAAAATAAATAACTAAAGTTGTATATTGTGCCATCTGTTATGAGATTTTGTTATAAAAATTTTATATATTTTTATTTATTATAAATTAGCAAAAGACTTAATTTTGAGGGTTGAGGCGAGTTTTACAAAACACTGTAAATGTAACAACAAGTAAAATCTTCATTAAGATTTACTTGTTAGATTTTTTTACTTGTTCATTAAGATTTTACCCCTCATGAGATATATCACATGACCACCTTCTATCTATAGTGTTGCCACTTTTTCAAAATCGCTGATCTGGATGGCAGGTGAGGTTTGTTTGAACAGAAATTCCTGACGCATGCGCAATGTCATTTTGCAATGCAAAGAATAACGTGCAGTGTATGCCGGTTCTAAATCAGTTACAGTTACGGACTAGGGAGACTTGGGTAAGAGTAACGTAAGTAAGTAACCTAAATTAAGAAAAACAACTACAGATGACTTAGCTCTATTGGATATTGGAGACGTGTACGAATATGAATCATACAAGCAAAAAAAGAAAGGTTGACAGGTTGGGCACGATATTCCCAGACAAAATTAATAGTTCACCCGGACAGTGAGTCGATTCCTGGACTGTCCAGGAGAAAACCGGACAGGTGTTAACACTACTCCATCCCCTTGACCTTTCACAACCAAAATTTTATAGCATCAATGTCCCTTGTATACAAGCTACTGTGCCAAATTTTATTATTTTGTCTTTATCCTGTCCTGAAATATTAAATGAAATAGATATCAACACACACTCATGGAATTGTTTTTTTATTCTTTTGGATTCAGGGAGTCTCGAAATGTGGAGATTTGCAAAAAACTTGGATGGTCAAATTCGACACAATTCCAATACTTTCCCTTGTTATGTATACATAACAACCAGGAAAGTAAAATTATTTATTAATCCACTTGTGCCAAAATTCATCCATTATTTATTTTTTATAATTTATTGTTATGTATGACAATAAATCTAAAATTTGAATAAACAAGAAAATATTTTCAAAACCATTGAAACTCGAATGGCTTTATGACTACAACCTTAGATAAAATATCTATTTTGATGTTATTCAAAAGAGAAAAGAAAAATCAATTTCATATACATACATTTTATAATATTAACTTTATTACCAAATGATAATAATAATTATAAGAAAAAATTTTCAGAACTCAACAGATGCATCTATTGTTCCTAGTTCTTACAGAATATTTCAGTAAAAAAAGTATTACAAGTATAGTATCATTTTGCAACACATTAAAATTTTAATGCGGCCAATAATGTGTCTTGGCCCATAGTTTGAAAAATGCTGGTTTAGTCCCAGTGCCTAAAATTTTATCCACTCGGCTATCACTAACCAGAAACATGAAACTTCTGACTAAACACTCAATTTTCAGAGACCTGTTTTTTTGGAAATGCTTGAGAAGTGGGTCCATAATTTGGACAAGGACTTGACTGTGTTCAGAGCTATATGCTCACCAAGTTTCATTCAAATCGGAGACCTGAACATCTGGCCCTCTCGTTGTAAATAACAGAAAACATGTTTCTTTTGCTTTCCAGATGCCAAACTGATAAGCACACCTGCATTAATTATTAAGTAAAACTGGTGGCAATAAATTATTTAAAGTGGCCAAAAAATAAAAAACTAGCAAAATGTTTACGATATTTTAAAATTTTCCAGAGTGACTCCTGTATATGTATATATGCATATAGACATATATGTATATATATGCGTATATCCTGTATATGTATATATATGCGTATATATGTTATTTAAATCATTAATTACCTGAATAATGTCTTTATATTTTTCATTGAGATGGCAACAAAGTGTTTCTTTAATTTCAGAAAATTTCAAATCTGGGTTTGGACAGTAAGTTGAAAATGAACAAATTGAAGATGTATCTGATATTGAACCTGAAAAGAAAACTTATTATATTTAAAATATATAAATAAATTTGAGAATATATTTTATAATAAAACACATTATCATTATTATTATTGTTAAAAAGACATGATATATCATTCTTTTGTTTCCTCACAATGTAAAATTTTTCTTAATAGCATTTTTCACTTTTTTTATAGCAAAAAGTTAAATGCTTTATTTTTATCAATTGATTAGAAATGAGAAAGAAAAATTAATAATGAGTAATTGTTGAAAGTATTAACATATTACAAATGATTAAATTTCTCTGTTTGTCCAAGTTATACTATAGAATTGTAATTCTGTAGTATAACTTGGACAAACAGAAAATGATCAGTGTTTTTGTAAATCCATATTGAAGATATGAATAAGTAAAATATAAAAAAATGAATATAACAGTTTGTAAATAGATATATTATGTTCAGAACTTGTATGGGCTGGAGTAAATTGGACCTTTAGCCTTTTGTTTTTTAAACAAATCAAATATGTAGAATGTTTCTTTATTAATAAAAAAAGCAGTCTTAAAGATTTTATTTTCTGTTAGTAAAAATAACATTAATTTTATAAAGACACAAATCACTACAGCTAAGTCACTAGCTCTGCACTCTCAACAGCCCTTATTATATTGAATATTAAAAAAATTTTAAATTATTTAAAACTCATGTCTTTAGTACAGATTATAAAACATTACCATAACTGAATTTTATAATAGAATGATTTAATTAATCATAATATAAACAATTCCTATAAATGCTAAATTATATATTTTTTTCATTCCTAACTTTCATTCAGCCAGTATTATTTTCAACTAAAGCTAAGTTTACACTGTCATACAAACCACTACAATTCAAAGCAAAATGTTGTTCATGTCATGGCACGTGAGACAAATGTGATTGATTGAAAAAATTTCAAACACTAGTTGTAAAAAGTTGATTGGTCAGATGAACCAAAGTTTGTCAAAAGTTGAAATATTTTCAACTTTCAACAAACTGGTCAAACAGTCACTGATAGAACAATTTGTATCTACTTAATTTGTAGTGGTTCTATGCTAATGTGAATCTAGCCTAATTCTTATTAAAAAAGGAAAAGATTAAAAATATTATATTTTATTAAAACTTTTTATAAGAGATAGTGCCATATGTAGTTTTAAATGTTGCTGAGAAAGTTAAGCAACTCATTGCTGCATTGAAAAAAGTAATGCAGTCAAAAACTTATCATCACAAAATATCTCTCAATACAAATTAATAGTGTGCTTACAACATTATTTCAAGAATTCAGTCATTTATAACTGTTTGCCTTGCACTTTTTAAATAGCAGAAATATACATTTGTGAGAGTACAAAATATCATGTGAATGAATCAACACGATAAAATATAAGTGCTTCTACCAGGGAAAAAATATAACAAGCGTGCTTGGTGGAAACAAACGCTTACTAGGGGGAATCCACTGGACTCAATAGGGACTAGACAAGACAACCATTGAATTCTATAACAATATTCCCAAGATAAAGATGAGACACAAGAATATAGAGTCCGACAAATCTAGTATATCGCAAATCGATAACAAAAATCTCCCTACAATAAATTGCTCAAGCTGACGTAACAAGAATACATGGAAACATACTGACATAAATGGGGCTTCGACAATCCTTTCTTCTCTTCCACTCCGGATAGGAAAAAGTTCCAAAGTTCAAAAAAATCTCTACGGACTTGCTTGCACAGGCTCTATATCTTCCTTCACGCACTTCACTCCACTGTCCTTACTCATCTCTCCTTTTCTCCACTCTCCTTTTCCCTTCACTCCTCTCCCTGAGACACACACCGTCCATAAAACACTCACCCCTCGGTCACACACCCCTGAATTACATAACTCCTCTCCACCGAGTTAGACCAACCACATGGCAAAGGGGGGCAGGAACAGACGTAAGGCACACATTTTTATATTAGAAAGGTACGTATTACTTGTTACAAGTTAATTATTCAATACAAATTACATTAAAGCACAGAAGAATGAAATAAAATTTTTAAAATCTCTCTTGAAATTTCTCAATATTCATATTATCATAAGTAATACAAAAATGCAAAAATAACCAATGATCGCCTTAAATATCAGGCTATAATGTGACTATTTAATTACATTTAATTAGCCAGATTATAGCCTTCGTTAGATTATAGATTAAGGAAATCGTTGGTTATTTCTATATATCAGTGGTGGCCAACTTTTGTGTACATAACATCTACTTTTTATCTTGAAATGTGTTGTAATCGACGTAGGAATAGTCTAAGTGGAGAGGGGAGGACGCGGAGGTTCGATATCACTACAGTTGCATTTGCGCATTACATTCACTTGTTGCGTTCGGTTACAAATGTAACACATTAAGTCAAGACATCACGAGCAATCAACCAAAATTAGCTTTACGATCGACTGATCAATCGTGATCGACTTGTTGGCCACCCCTGCTATATAAGCATTGGGCTTTGAGTTGTTTATTATTTATAAATACAAAATTGTTATATAACTACCAAAAACATATACTGTTTAATCTTTCCAGAAATATTCATACAATTTAGAAGTCACAAACAATAATTACACAGTTACACTTATAAATCAATTTTGTAGATTATATAAATCAAACTCATAATTTTACAAGTTTGATAAGTGGAAGGAAAGGAGCTATTCCTAGTTGAGATGCTTCCATATCTGCAGAGCTAGAGATATGAAAGTTAGAAGGGAGAAATCCTCACTATCATACCCTTCAAATCACACACTGCTTATACAGTAGAATCCATTTATTGTAATCAAAACTATTATCATCAGTCAACTAGCATTATCAGAATTAACATATCCAAAAATGTATAAATTAAATTATACTTATAAAACATTGCTTATTGTAATCAGGCTAAATAAATCTGATGATGACCATTCAACACAGATGAAAATGTTTTCTTTTGTATATTTTTGTAATTTCTTGCTAGATATTGGTTTTATGTGTAGTGCATACAAAACTTATAGTTTATATATTTAATGGTAAATCATATTTTTCTATGGGGAAGGATATAGATCAATACATAAGGAATCATCATTGTCATTAAGAAACAAACATTGCAAAATGAAAATAAAGGATAAATTGCGTCCTTTATCTTTTTAATAAGAACAGTTTAGCTAATAAATAGGTTCTACTGTAAAATGTTTTCCTTTTCCAGACATCCTTTATTTGGTGTTAAGTATGTTTGTAGGACAAATTAAAATGTGCTGTGGGCCAGATTTGGTCCTGAGGCTAGTTTGAGCACTACTGTCATAAACTATTAATTTTCACCATGTAACTGGTATTTGTTTTTTTAATTTATGAAGAAAAATCAATACATTCTTATAATAAATTTAAATGATTATTTTGGTATTTAAAATTAGAATATTATTTTAATTATTTAAATAGATCTTACTTGATTTTTTAATAGGTGTGTTCAATTGGTCTTGTAAAGAACTATCACATTTTTCACAATTAATTCTCATACTTTTATCAGACATTTTACACTACTTTAAAACAAAAATTTTATATTAATGTTAATATTTATAAATACATAATTTAAAATATAGAAAATTTACTAAACAAATCAGAATAATTATCTTATATTTAAAATCAGTCACTTTCAAGTTTTCAACATCCATAGAATATTTTTAATAAATGTGATTTTCATATAACCTCACAGTAAAAAAAAATTGTTTTAAAAAGTTATTCACATTTATTTTATTTTATTTTTACTTTTGAATATAAAATCTCAATGATGAAATTTGTTTTAAAAAAAATTTGCCCAAAAATAACTGTTTAAAAAAAATAACTGTGAAACTCCTTTAAGGAAGATAAAAATTTTAAAATCTTGAAAGAATACCAATTATATCAGACAGAACTGAAATTGTGAAATATAAATGCAGTTTTAAATGAAAAATCAAACATTTATGGTTTCATTTCCTCTTTAGAAATATTCTAAATGATAATTCAGGCAGCTTTTTAGAAGTAACGTTTCTTTTTTTCATTTAACATTTTTGGAATTCTTTCAATTTCATCAATCTTGTTAGGTTACAACTGGATATTTAAAAATAAAATAAAATACTCATCTTCCAGCAATTTATTTAATAACTAGCTGTTGCAGAATCTCTTGTTACCTTTATTGTTTATTTATTTTATATATTTTTTTTGTCTAAACTATTTAGAATACTTTTAAATTTTGAATGATTGGAATTTATGTTTTTAAAATTCTGTTCAAATTGTTTAATTTTATGACTACTAAATGCAATCAAAAATATTATTTACTAAACAAATTGCTGGTAGATAAGTTAAGTATTTTATTCTAATTTCATCATTGGAACACATCAAATTCTAAAACAAACCAATATGATTGAATAAAACAAGAAATCTGTTTATTTAATTGAGAAAATCTATATGTTTGCATTATTCATTTAGTCATGTCTGACCCTTAGAGATTTCAAAAGTTAATACTCTATATGCCATGCAGTTCCGTGCCAACTCTTTCAATTTAAGTATGTTTATATCAGTGTCTACTTTGATGATGTCAAGCCTTCGATCTTTTGCCAACCTGATTAAGGAAACCAGTACTCTCAACAATTCCTAACATAAGATCTTTTTTCAATCAAATGGGCACACATCACATGACCAAAGTTGGTCAAACAGAGCTTGGCAATTTTGGTTTCAAGTGACATTTCAGGTTAATCTTGATAATGTATACTTTTACATAAATTTGATTCATCTTTTCAGTTATTATAAATCAAAAATAATTAATATCAAATTGGCATAAAAGTATTCACCATCTAAATCAAAATCACTATTTTAACCTCAATATCATATTGTTCTATTTTAGAATTTAGTTTATTCTAATAATAGAATTAGATAAATTTTTAAAAAATTAAGAAAACAGTTTAAAAATACAACTTCTAGAAATCNTAAATCAAAATCACTATTTTAACCTCAATATCATATTGTTCTATTTTAGAATTTAGTTTATTCTAATAATAGAATTAGATAAATTTTTAAAAAATTAAGAAAACAGTTTAAAAATACAACTTCTAGAAATCTGTCAGAACTAATCACTTTTCTCTAAACTTTTTAATACATACAACTATACACATCAAAACTTGTCTTGTGTTTTCTCTTCCTTCAGGAATTAGGCAATTTGCCTCTTCCAATCTGAAAGAGATCCATCCATCTATTGTAAAAAATATATCGAAGAATACAAACACATTTTGTCTTCACAATCAGTCATTTCACAATAACCATTGACAAACCAAATACAAAAACCTTCACACACACTTTGTTTATTAAGTTATGGCAATGCAACACTTGGGTGATTTGCCTAGGGGAAATGCCTTCCAGGAGATCTTTTTAAGGGTAACCAGCCACTATTCAGGCGTTATAGATGTAGAGAAAATCTGGAAAACTCCACATCCCAGTAAGGTGTGAAACCACAACCAAACTCCCAATGTTCAAGGAACATAACTGCTTGGCCACTGGTGGGCCCTTCACTCACAGAGATGACCTTTTATTCAAATAAATCACATTTTTTTTGTATTCTTCGGTATATTTTTACTACGTAAACCACCATCAGCCATTTTCGAATGAGATCCTTCCATCTTAGTCTCTGTCTTTCTTGATGCACTCTTGCAATGCGGGGAAGCGGATTTCAGGCAACTTTTTGCACAGGTTTTGAGAAATATTCACAATATTGACTTATAAAATTTAAAAATAAGTTTATCAGAAGTCAATATTGTGAATATTTCTTAAATCCTGTGCAGAAAGTTGCCTGAAATCTGCTTCCCCGCATTGCAAGAGAGCATGACTAACCTGCTGATGTAGCCTACTTTAAAACATGAGTTTATATTCATGTTTAAAGTGTATTAATTTAAAATGATCATTTAAAAAATACACGTAGTCCATATTTACATTCAAATTCCAAAGAATATGATTACAGACTCACTGTTATTCAAATACAATATTAGGCTTATTTACATGTAAAAATGAAAAATAAACTGTTTAAAATATTTTCAACGTTACCAAATACAAAATATTTTATCACAGATACAAAAGTAGATTCAATTATATCAAATACACGTCCTAAATTGGCCGCACTTACAAATAAATATCCTAAATATTTGACCTAAAATGTAATTTCGAATGATGCGGGTCACGAATATAAACAACGGTTACTATGGCAACTATATGTAAATGAGTTAACACGTGTTGGATACACAAACCAATGACTTAGCCCGTTTTATTTGAAACGGATTAGGTTATTGGTTTGTTTATCCACGTGTTTTGAAGTCACTTATTGATTAACTTACAAAAAAAAGAAACGGCGTAAAATATTTCTTATTAAAAAAATTAATTTTAAGCAATTTGCGAAATTATTTTATCAAAACAATAAACTTTTTTTCACTTTTTAAACATTACACGAAAAATTTAATGCTCAGAATCTTGGGTAATTTATGCCATATTTGTATATGTTAAAACACTGGTTAATTATGATTTTTATATTATTTAATATAAAGTACAAGCAATTATATATATATAGATTATTTAATACTTTATAATTCAATTCAGTAAATAAAATGTTCTAATTTTTTTTAAAACCGTGCTTGCGTGTTTCTCCTCTTTCGTCACAAACAATTAGGTTATACATTTTACAAAAAATGGTGAGATAAATCAAATTTACATTCGAAAAATCGGGCCGATAAAAATCTAGAAATAAATAATCCGTCAGATGCGTGACTGCATCAGTCTATTTCTTATGCGGAATATCAAAACACAGCAACCTTAATATACTTATTACGGAAGTATAAGCTATCATCTTTGAGTATTGTACACTTCGAAGTACACGTATCGATACCGATAATCGAATGTCTTCCTTTCTATATTTGAAAATATATAAAAATAACTGTGTATTCATCACACCACACTCGTGTTGTCTAAATATAATTCCAATATCATTAAGTTGGCGAAATTGTTTTTCATCTTCAGGAAGTGATGTTATATTTTAGGCATCCATTTAGAACTTAAAAATAATCTGTAATTTAGTAATATTTATACTTTTACTTGTGTTCTATTTTAGAAGCAGAACATTAAATACACTTTCGTTGTTTACTTAAGTGTGTTGAATTTCAAAGTAGGCAGTAGAAATGAAAGAACATGCGACTTAAAAGTAAGGATTTAAAGCTACAGTATTTTCGAAGTTATTAGTCAAATAATTTAAACCCGGAAACGAAACTTTAATGTATTTTAAGTTCAATAACGGTGGTGTTGTATTTATCGAATAAGGGATTAAATACAGAAATGAAAAATTTACAAAAAATTAATTTTATTACTCGAATAAAAACAGTGTATAACAATGAACATCTTAAAGATTAAAATAAATAATGAAACGAACTTCTGCAAAAATTTTGCGTTTGAAAAAGTTAACTACACAAAAAAAAAAATTGATTGTTTCCGTTTAAACAGCGATTAATATGTACAAAATTTTTAGTCGACTTCTTCGATAGTTGGTCCACTTCCTCCGCCAGCAGAAGCACCCGCTCCTGGAGCGGCACCACCTGGAAATCCTCCTGGAGGAGCACCGCCTGCTTGATAGAGTTTTGTGATGATGGGATTGCACACACTTTCTAATTCTTTTTGCTTGTCTTCGAATTCTTCCTTTTCTGCAAGCTACAGAATCGAAGTTTCGATTAGTGAGATGGCTTAAATTTGTATTAATGTGCAGTTAAAAACTCAAAAATAAAGAACTTTCGACTTACCTGATTTGTATCCAGCCATTTGATAGTAGAATCTACCTTATCTAAAACTTTCTTCTTATCCTCTTCGCTTATTTTATCCTTTAATTTTTCATCTTCTACGGTTGATTTAATATTGAAGGCATAACTTTCGAGTGCGTTTTTGGCAGCAATCCTGTTCTTTTGCTTCTCGTCTTCGTCACGGTATTTCTCGGCATCCTTCACCATCCTTTCTATGTCCTCCTTGGAAAGTCTGCCCTTATCGTTAGTGATTGTAATTTTGTTTTCTTTGCCAGTGCTCTTGTCGACTGCAGATACGTTCATTATACCGTTAGCGTCGATGTCGAAAGTAACTTCGATCTGTGGGACGCCACGTGGTGCCGGTGGGATTCCTGTCAGTTCAAACTTTCCTAGAAGATTATTGTCCTTTGTCATTGCTCTCTCTCCTTCGTATACTTGAATTAATACACCGGGCTGATTGTCTGAGTAGGTGGTAAATGTTTGGGTTTGTCTTGTGGGAATGGTAGTGTTCCTTTTGATGAGGGCAGTCATAACACCACCGGCAGTTTCAATTCCAAGGGACAATGGGGTAACATCGAGCAGGAGCAAATCTTGCACTTGTTCAGATTTGTCACCATTCAGAATAGCAGCCTAGAATATTAAAATTTTAATACTTTTAACATCACGATTACATTTCTTTAAACGGAATAGTTTAGTTTAAAATTGTGTCATTTATTCATACCTGAACTGCAGCACCATAGGCAACAGCTTCATCTGGATTAATACTTTTGTTAAGATCTTTGCCATTGAAGAAGTCCTGCAATAATTTCTGGATTTTTGGAATTCTAGTAGAACCACCTACTAAAACAATGTCGTGTATTTGACTTTTATCTAACTTTGCATCCCTGAGAGCTTTTTCTACTGGTTCTAGAGTACTGCGGAACAAGTCGGCATTCAGCTCTTCGAATCTAGCTCTAGTGATTGTCGAGTAGAAGTCTATGCCTTCAAACAAGGAGTCAATTTCAATGCTGAAATTGAAAAATTAATATTTTAAATTTAATTTAAATTACTTTGTATCTAAAAATAAGTCAGATTAAGACACGTCTACATACCTTGCTTGAGTGCTCGATGAAAGTGTTCTCTTTGCTCTTTCACAGGCAGTTCTCAATCTCCTCAAGGCTCGTTTGTTTTGGGTGATATCTTTTTTGTGCTTACGTTTAAACTCTTGAACGAAATGATTAACCATTCTGTTATCAAAATCTTCACCACCCAAGTGAGTGTCACCAGCTGTAGATTTCACTTCAAAAATACCATCTTCAATTGTTAAACAGGATACATCAAAAGTGCCACCACCAAGGTCAAAAATGAGAACATTTCTTTCTCCAGTACCCTGAAGTAGATAAGAAAAAAGTTAAACTTAACAATAAATAAATAAAAAGTTTCTATTTGTTTAAAATTTAAAAAGTTTAAATACCTTTTTGTCAAGTCCATAAGCAATGGCAGCAGCAGTGGGTTCGTTGATTATCCTGAGAACATTCAATCCGGCAATTGTGCCGGCATCCTTAGTGGCCTGCCTCTGAGAGTCATTAAAATAAGCGGGTACAGTTACGACAGCATTGGTGACGGTCTTTCCTAAGTAAGCTTCCGCTATCTCCTTCATTTTTGTCAATACCATAGATGAAATTTCCTCGGGGAAGAAAGTTTTTGTTTCGCCCTTATATTCTACCTTAATTTTTGGTTTACTGGCATCGTTAATTACTTCGAATGGCCAATGTTTCATATCAGCTTGCACCGAGGTATCGTCGAAACGTCTTCCTATTAAACGTTTCGCATCTGTAGGATAGAAAAACAAAGTTAAGAGCACAAATTCGCAGAGTTAACAGCGTGTAGATTTAAAGATGCGATCACTTACCGAAGACAGTGTTACTGGGATTCATGGCTACTTGATTCTTTGCAGCATCACCGATTAACCTCTCGGTATCGGTAAACGCTACGTAACTGGGAGTGGTTCTGTTTCCTTGGTCGTTAGCGATGATTTCCACCTTCCCATGTTGAAATACTCCAACGCAGGAGTAAGTCGTTCCCAGATCGATACCAATTGCAGGAGTTTTTGCCATTTTTTTACTACGGAAAAAAAATCATAAAAATGTTAGAATCAGCGAGTAAATAAGACACAATTTCAGTTAATTTAATTAAAACGAGCTTAAACTTACCTTTGAAGTCGATTACGATGGATTGACTAGCTTCTTTATAGTAAACTGTTGCTTCTCTTCGTTACTTTGTCTCCGTTAAAACTGCTCTTCGGATCTCTCGAACTAATATAAATAACCGTGACAGAAGTTCTAGCAACTTCGAGAATTTTTCCGATCGACCAATAGGAGAGCGGAATCGTTGGAGCGTGTCGCTTCCCGATTGGTTAACTAACCGATGACGCTCGATTTCGTAAAGGAAGTACGTAATCGGCACAGAAACTTCTCGAATATTCTTTTACGTTATTTATGGCTTATCTATTTATTTCTCGGAGTTTAAAAAAAAATAAAATAAAAATAAATGAATTATTTCTCTTCTTAAAAAATAAAATAAAAAAAAATTTTAAATATATTTATTTGCGATAATTACATTCGTTAATTAATGAGTTAAAGGTTAACGTACAGCACATCCCGTGTTCTAAATTTAAATTAACAGACGAAATATTTCTAATTAAACGATCTTAAAATATCCGTTTAATTTATAGAAAGGGCAATTAATTTAGGCGTTTTCTAGTCTTTTCTGTAGACGTACTTACAGGTTAGCCTTGAGTGTTATCTCGAGAGGGCGCAATTTGATGTCATAATAAAAAAAACAAATAAAAATTGTGACGTCAGTGTAACGTGATGATTAATGTTAATAATTAATTAGATAATAAAACAAGAAATTCTGTTAGCACAATCCAAATATGGTTACTTTTCTAGATTCTTGACCTCGTAACCCGCCATAAAACTTTCGAAATAGACTTTTCTTTTTAGAGTAGATTGAAATTTTACTGTTAAAACTAGGTTTGTTAATATAAATTAACCTCATAATGTATACAAATTTACATTTACGATCATCAAAGGTATTGCTTTACGTAAATAAAACACGTATTTTCTCATTTTGAATTAAAATTTCGCCTTTAACAATACGAACAATATTGCATAACGTTTATGCGTGTTCTATTTAAAAAGCATGCTTTTTTAATTCGTGTAAAGATATTTTACACCAAAACCATGTAAAGTTACTAATAACCGTATATTTTCCAATTCTATTTTAGTTATATTATGTCAGTCTAAAGTGTGTTATGTTACGTCAACCAACGAGCATGACTTGAAATGGATATCGGAAAGAATGACGACACTGCCGCCTCTGGAGTAAAATTGTAACTATTTTTATTTATTTTTTTAAACTAATTTTTTAATTTAATTTTTATATACTTATGAAGTTTTTTTTAATGTTTTAAGAATAAAACTATTCAAAACATTGTTTGCAAGTTTATTTTCGTTCTAATTAATAATGTTACACAAAAATTATTATTAAATAAAAACGTAAATTAATTGTTATAAATGTAGCGCGTGACTTAATTAGTAAAATAAATATTTACTTCTAATATCGGTGCGATAAATTGATTTTTTTTAATAGAATTTTTAGTACTTTATTATCGATTAAATTCCCGCTGAGTATAAATTTCGTTATGTAAATCCAAAGAGAAGACGACGAAAATTTAATGTCATATTTTGCGTCATTTTTAACGAAATGGGTTCAATTAAAAGTTGAGAAAATGTAAATTATTTGTTTGTTAAGTTATGGCAACGCAACACTTGGGCGATCTGCTTAGGGGATGCCTTCCGGGAAGTCCTTTTAAGGGAAACTAGCCCCTATTTATGCGTTACAGACGTGGAGAAAACCCGAGCGAGGCGCGAACTCACGACCTAACTCCCAGCGTTCAGGGTACGAAGATCGCTTGGCCACTGGTCGGCACGAGAAAATGTAAATTGAATTGAATTTATCGATGCAGAATACTGTATACTATTACACTATAGATCAATCATCCTCAGTTTTGTCGATTTCTGAGCAGCTTACAGTGTTTAAGAAACGGGATCCCTTACCGTAGACAAGAGATAGGTGCAATGCCCCGATCCAAATTGACCATAATCATATTCAAATCGAATCTCTGAAGGTTGCAGGATGAATAGGAAAAATATATCCAATAAAAATTTTATTTTTAATATTAAAATGCTCAGTAGTTATTCAAATATTTTTTTCTTAAATTTTAGTTGAAATTACTTGGCTCATCGGCCAAGTAATTTCAAGCGGGGCGGTGAAGTTTGATTTTGTTCGTATACGGCAACGCGACACACGGGCAATCTGCCAAAGGGGGATGCTTCCTGGGAAGTCTTTTATGGGAACTGATCCCTATTCAGGTGTTACTAAGATGAAGAAAACCCGGAAAACTCCACGTGGCATGCCCGTTGGCGAAGCCATCAACTCACAACTAACTATCAGTGTTCAGAGGTTTTATCCACTCGGCCACGTCAGTCTACCCGTCTGGCGAACCCGAAATTAAATCCGCGCAAGCACCCCAAAGAATTTTTTTATGGGCGGTCCGTCTCCCGTTACTTGACCTCCCCTATTAGGGATTTGATTAAGGTCCTATTAATATATACAGGAAGAAAGAATCAAAAATAATAATTAAAAACTTTACTTGGATATATTAGATAAAATATGGCATTCAAATATCTAATATCGTCTCTCTCGTTATGAAGTTTTTCTAGATAATTCTTGTCTGTAGATGAATTTATCGTCCCTTTTAAGTGTTAAAGTGCATATCTAAAAAATATTAAATTATTAAATATTGAATTTATCCAATTGTCACAGAGTTCGAAGTTTTAAATCCGTTTCTTAACGCCGACGATTGCGTGACAAAATGGACAAGTATGAATGATGTCCTTTGTCGCGTCGATGCAGAGGGGAACGAAAAACAAAGGCAAACTGTTTAAAAAAAATTACGTTAAATTACATAAATTAAATTTCATAAAATATTTTTTTTTAAAAATTCTACATACAATACCAGGCATGTAACAAATGTTGCGAGATACGCAAATCTTCCGTTTTCCATTTGAACAAATGTGGTACCTTCTCGTTTGCAATTTGGGCAAGTGAACTTGACGGGATATTTACCAACGTTAAGTTTATTTTGTTGCATTAAAATGATTGTATTTTCTAAAATTAGAGATAATTTTTATTATAAAAGTTGCAAGTTAAGTTTTAAAAATATTACAATTTATAATGAATGTATCATTTTTACTTTCAATTGTGAGTTCTGTAGGATTTTGAAATGCAGCTTGAGGCGGAGCAGGTGGGGCAGCTTGAGTCGGAAAAGGTGGGGGTGCTTGAAATAGACCTACGGGTGGTGACATCGATGGATAAGGCGGTGGATAGGTGGGTTGAGCCATATTTCCATTGTAATAATTGTCCATATCTATAAAAAAATCATTAATTTATAGTTTACCCATAATTATATCGAAGGATATAACTCATAAACATTAAAAAATTTTCTCTGGAAGAAGTTAGATGACAGACACGACTCTATTGCTAACAGGAAAAGTATGATGTACAGGGGCAAGACATTACTAATTTGAGGTAGAGAGCATATATTTTAAATAAAATAAATGAAAAATATGATTAAACATTTCAGCCCGGCATTGTGACAATATCACAATATATAATTGTTCGTTGTTTTATTCATTATATTTTTATGATTTCGAAGTGGAATGAAGGCACATTTAGACTAATTTACAACTAATCTAGACTTATCTTACATCTTTCAGGCCCTGTTGACAGCGTTTCTTTAATACAGTACATATTTATTAGTAATGAGAATATAACTTAAAGCATTAGTAACTTATTCAAGGCCTCATTTAGACTTACGTTGCAACATATAAATTCTTTTCCACCAGTAATAATAATATATTCAAGAGCGTCAGGCCTAAATTAAAGTATGGAAGAGTGAGGTCCTAACTTGTAGCTTATTTAATGTATAAACTCGACCTTAGATTTATTAAATTAAAGTATTTACGTAACGTTATCAAATACTTGCATTTAAACATAAATAGTAATTATTCATAATACATAACATCCTGAAAATGTATTAATATATAATTAAATCACTAAATATATTTAAAACAATTAATTTTTTATCGATTAAACATAATAATTATATAATTTAAACATAAGTTAATTGTAGTTAAAGGTAAAAAAATTCTCACTTTTTTCCATTTTGAAAACTTCTTGACCGTTTTTCTCGTCGACTTTGATCTTATTTTTAGATATATCTACGGTTATATTGAATCGTTTCTTCATTGAGATTCTCAATAAATCGCACGAACTTCTACTGTAAAATCGATTTCTAATGATGTAACAAGTAAACAAATTACTACATTATCCTACGTCTTCGGTTTTCGTTCTGCATTTAAAATAAGGTTTTTATTAACATTATTATATGTTACACAATAATTATTGTCTGAATTTTACACATGTATAGACAAATTGTTCAGTAAATATATATAGTTTAATTAAAATTACTACTGAAAACAAGAATTTCCTGTAAAATTATTTGAAAATATGAAATTATTAATATTGTATTTATAGTTTATGTTTGATATTTTTAATATTATTATCACTAGTTGATATAATTTTATATGTTAACCTCAAGAATGGGTAAAAGTATAATGAATTAGGAATATAATATTGAATAATTTCGCAAACGACATATAAAATTTATTGTTTCGATTTATACCAATCAACAGCGGACAAGCAGTGGCGCGTTATCCTATGAGCGAAAAGGGCAATCGCCTGGCGCCCCCAAAGAATCTTTTATAAGAAAAAATTTCCCTAAGAAAAATGCATGAAATCAATGCTGTACACGAGACCCTTTATTCAAATTCACCTGTGCCCCAAGCTATTACACGCCACTGACAGAGAGCCCATTTCTTGAAGGCACAAATAAAGATGGGGGGCGACTCCTTTTTAATTCTTTCCGCTCTGTGGACACTAAGAGGGCGTCTTTTTAGCAAACCCATTATAGGTTAGGCCAGGACCACAATGGGTAGTGAGGGATGAGGCCCAACATCTAATTAATTATTGACATAAATAATGCATACATCACGGCTCAAAATTCAATAATTTTCAGCCAATTTTGCCCCCAACATTGGAGGAAAATCCACCTACGAACACCCAATATAAATTTCCATCCTTCGTTTTGCTCATCTCTAGATTTTATACTTAATAATGCCAAGCCCAAATCTAGCTGTGTGGTTGGATTCTACACAAGAGTCCCAAAATTTAATCACATATAAAAAAAAATGTTTTTACATTTGTTTTATTGATTTTAATAATATGTTTTTATGGTTTTGAGGGATACTCTTTGAATAATGTAAATTTTCATCTTTATCTTCTAATAAAATCAGAATTAAATGGTATTTTTTTATGAATGAAATGTTTCATTTTATACAGTGAGACCTGTGTAAACCGGAATTAAACGGTCCCGAATTATTTTTCCGTTTTAGACAGGTTTTACCGTGTAATTCACTTAAATCTTTGCAGAACTTCGTCTCATACTGGAACAATTTTATTTGTTTATAAATTTCAAAACTAATTTTATATTTTATTAAAAATAATTCTGGCAAATAAAAGCAGATCTTTGAGTAAATTTTTCTCTTATAAAATTCTGAATATAATTCTTATATCAATTAAATAAATTATAATTAAACTTAGTCTAAACTAATCGATGTTTTAGTAATTGTTTTCTTTTCATTAACACAATAAAATTTAATTTTATATTTTAACAGAATATAAACTAAATATAAATGAAAACAGAATCTCATACATAGCAAATCATATATAAATTTGAGTTTTACATCTAATTTTAAAGTGATTTAGATTTTGTTTGCCACACATATTTCAATAATTGGATGGTTAAGGATGTATATATTTTCAAAGCTATTTACATGTTTCAAGATGCAGAACAACTCTGGTACATTTTTTTAATACTTAACATTGTATACTCAACTTTATTTGAATGGCAAACAAAACGAAATGTTTAAGGTACACATGGGCTGAATAATTTTTCTTTCCATGTTTTCTATAATTATTTTTAAAATTAAAATAGTATATAATGAAAAATCCATTATAAAGTTGTATATTATTTATTGTAATATTTATAAATTGCACTGAACTATGAATAAAATTACACATTTTCAGGCTGGAGTTGGTCTGTATTGGAGTTGAATTGTCCATCCCATCTTAATGGGTACCAAACTTTTGTTTGTTATTCTAATTGCCCAAGTCTGAAATTCACTTAGCATTCTTTCCAATGTTTTTCTAGGAATAATTTTGATGATAAGCTATGGTATGATGCACACGATACTCCCTTTTTTCCATGTCAGAAACCAAGATTGGTGATAGGCTAAATTCAATTGTTCTGAATGCTTTGAAGTTTATAAAAGCTACTTTTAACTTATCTGTATATTTTAAAATTTTAAATAGTTAATTTTGTGGCTATAATCATAATTCTAATTTCAAAAATGTACAATTGACACCTCTACAACAAATATTCACATTGAATGATTACTATGGGTTTTCTAATTAACATATATAAGCAAATGCAATTATATTCTTAAAAATCAAATGTTTAAACGTTATTATTTTAAATCTTTAAAACCTTTCATTTATAAATCTTAATTATGCTTCATGTTATATACAAAATATAATTTTGTTCTAAATTAGAACAATCTAAACACTGAAGACATCTAAGATGCTACAAATTGTTCTAATTTTTTTCAATCAATAATATTTAGAAGACAGAACTTTAAAACTGTTTAATTTTTAGTGTTACTTAATTAATATTTATTTTTGATAATGGAAAAATTTACTATTTCAAGGAATATAATATACAATAGATAGATATAATGACATATAATGACAATGTATATTATAAATCATTACCTTTTAATGAATTCAAAATTAATCCAAATTTACATTATTCAGAAATTCAAACAATCTTTTGTATGTATTTATTAAAAATATTATCATCATAAATTGCAATATTTATGTATTTTAAATATATTTTGATTATTTAATTTCTATAATTACATATTTAATAATTTTAAATTTCAGGCAAGGAAACTTCTTTAAATAAATGCATATTTAACTTAATGCATGACTGATAATGAAATGTTTCCTGGTTCGAAAACTGACTTTTTTTATAAAACCATCATTAAATACTATTATAGTTAATATCTAGACATTTTAGAGATTTAAACCCAGATTTAATTTATTCTTTATCACATTGGCAATGCCTAAATGCCTTGATATTTTGATTTTAAATTTGATAAATTTTAAATCAATTATTAATGTTCATTAATTGATTAGATGGATGTTTAATGTTGATTTTTGCTTAAAATATTTTGAGGTAAATTATTTTTAATCCTACATATTAAAATAATTTGATAAATGACTAGAAATCCGGAAATTATTATTCATTTTCAAAAAGTAATCTAATTATATTCAACTGACTACAAAGTCTTTATTTTCAACAATATATTCAAAACAATTTTCATTCAGTGTATTCAAAATCAGTTTTACAAAGCATCCTATTTTGCAAAAATGAATAATTTTAATCTAAACATTTATTGTCACAAATGACATAGTAACCCAACTACTTCATTTTTTCACTTCTTGGTATCTCTGTGCAACGTCTTTCCAGTTGACAACATTCCAAATTGCTTTTACATAATCGGGACGAACATTTTTGTACTGAAGATAATAAGCATGCTCCCATACATCAATTCCAAACAGTGGAATTAAACCTATTAAAAAATACATATATACATATATATTTTCTTAATAAAAGGAATTTATATATAAATCAAAATTTTAATTAAGTAATAATTTAGTTCACCTCTTGTAGCTTGTAAAGGATCCTGATTAGCACAAGTAGCAATTTGCAAATAACGAGTTTTTGGGCAACAACCTAGCCAAGCCCAACCTGATCCTTGGACTCCGACCGCAGCAGCAGACATTTGTGTTTTCAATTCTTCCAAACTTCCAAAACATTGCTTAATTGCATTCAGCAGATCACCTAAAAGTTAAATACATTTAAATTATTAATATCGCGATTAATAATAAAAATTATCGCTATTATTTGTTTCTCCCTTTTTAAAAAAGATTCGAAAATGCGCAATTAGACCATGGTAGATAGCACTTGGCGACTGACAAAATTCGTTACAGCTAAAACATTAAGACGTTTTATGCTTAATTATACATGATTAATAGTTTAATTTGTTTATTGGAATTCGGTTCTTTAAACATTTTCTTTTAATTTTCCGAAGAAAACAGATTAAGTTGTGAATTCGCGTATCGATTTTATGCTAATGAGTTTCCTTGTCTTTACTATATAAATTGGCACTTATTAGTCTATAGACGAGGCCGTTTCCCTCTATTTTTGATACTTTTTTAAGGTCTCGGAAGAATTGTGATAATGTGACGTCAACAAAAGAAAAATTCGGCTTCTAGTCGAGTTGATTTACAGCGAAAAATCTCCGATATCAGAGGCAGTGTAATTCACGTAAAACCGAAATCATTTGGAAGAAATTCGCGAAGATGACTGCAGGAGGAATAGAATGACAGCTGCTCAGAGCGCTCCAACTGTTCCCTATCAATCAAGTGAGGGAATAAACGAATGGCGTCTCGATACTCTCTAACCGAATCGAGCTTGCCAAAGACGAATCGTTGGTTCCCCCAACGGGTTATAAATAGAGTCATTAGTCCGAGATTGGTGACGGGAGAATAAAAACAAGTTCAAAAACTGGAGCGGNACCTATGAATTCCCATTGTCATCCATCTGTCCTTCCTTAATCTCAAGAACAAAGATAGATGAAAGTCAAGATCAGAAAGCTTAGGAGCAGGAGGCTCCAATTAACTATATATGAACATCTGGTTTGCACTGGAAGTTAAGTTATTTCAATTCAAGCTTTCCCCTGAAAGGAGCTAGATAGATGACTGACACATTAAAGGAAAAGTATAATGTACATGGGCAAGACCCTACTAATTTGAGGTGGAGAACATATTTTAAATTAAATAAATTATAAACATGATTAAAAATTGCAGCCCAGCCTTGCAATGATGTCACAATAAATAATTGCTTGTTTTACTTCAACTATTATGTTTAAAGTTTATAACTATTTGTACATTTTAACAGTTTTAAATTATACTAATGTTCTGTGACTACAAGTATTATTTCTTTTTATATTCTTGTATATATTTTGATGTTTGATTAAGAATAACTTGAGGAAGGCCTTTGAACATGGCTGTAAACTCTGTTCCAAAAAATCTAAGTTGTTGGAATTACTGCTTTTGCTTGTCTATCCTTTACCTACATATTGAAAAGAATTGTAAGGATACTTTGATTCAAAGAATTGAATATTTAATTTTAAACATAATCTTTAACAATTGAAGAGCTATATAACACAATTCTGATAAATATATTATGAATTTTAAACATTCCAGACAATGTTCTGAATGTTTAAAATTTATTCTACTACATTGCATAATGTGAAGCAGTGGTTCTCAACTGGGGGTACGAGCGTAAATTGAACGGGTACATCTAACTTTCGTTATAAAATGACACATGTTAATGAATTTGCTGTAAATTATTAACACAAGAAATGACAAAAACTTGCTTTAAAATATCCCAGTATGAACACTGATTTCCTTTTAACAATCCAAACAACTTGTTTATCCACTTGATTTACCTGTCTATTTGTGCTGTTAGTGCTGAGTGAACCTGTAGTCTAGAAAATTTTGATTTAACCAAGCATTAATTTTAGAATAGATGAAAGCACCAATGTCAGCGGATTGACAATACTTTTAGTTTTTGTGAAATATCAGTACAATGCTGAGCTTTGCAAAGATTTGTTAATGTGTGATGACCTAAAAAAATACAACTATCAGTTTTGATATTTTCAATAAAATCAATGATTTCATTCAAAGTAATAAAATAGATTGGAAAAAGTGCATCAACATCTGCACTGATGGAGCTAAAGCTATGCAAGGTCCAATTTAAAAGGTCAAAAGAAAACTTTTACCATTTTAACAACGTATTTGTGACAAAAACTAAAAAAAAGAAACAGACTTGACGCATCATTCGTTGTCAGTTAACAAGTTGAAAACCAAATTTTGAAAAAAATTGCTAAAGATTTATCGCAACAAATATCCCAATAAATTGTTAGAAATTATTATAGAATCATTTAAATTTTGTTTATCGTTAATTATAATTATTTATTTTTAGGAAATGTAATTTATGCATGTATTGAAATGATTTCTGTGATTTTACATAATAAATCATTACCTTTTAATGAATTCAAAATTAATCCAAATTTACATTATTCAGAAATTCAAACAATCTTTTGTATGTATTTATTAAAAATATTATCATCATAAATTGCAATATTTATGTATTTTAAATATATTTTGATTATTTAATTTCTATAATTACATATTTAATAATTTTAAATTTCAGGCAAGGAAACTTCTTTAAATAAATGCATATTTAACTTAATGCATGACTGATAATGAAATGTTTCCTGGTTCGAAAACTGACTTTTTTTATAAAACCATCATTAAATACTATTATAGTTAATATCTAGACATTTTAGAGATTTAAACCCAGATTTAATTTATTCTTTATCACATTGGCAATGCCTAAATGCCTTGATATTTTGATTTTAAATTTGATAAATTTTAAATCAATTATTAATGTTCATTAATTGATTAGATGGATGTTTAATGTTGATTTTTGCTTAAAATATTTTGAGGTAAATTATTTTTAATCCTACATATTAAAATAATTTGATAAATGACTAGAAATCCGGAAATTATTATTCATTTTCAAAAAGTAATCTAATTATATTCAACTGACTACAAAGTCTTTATTTTCAACAATATATTCAAAACAATTTTCATTCAGTGTATTCAAAATCAGTTTTACAAAGCATCCTATTTTGCAAAAATGAATAATTTTAATCTAAACATTTATTGTCACAAATGACATAGTAACCCAACTACTTCATTTTTTCACTTCTTGGTATCTCTGTGCAACGTCTTTCCAGTTGACAACATTCCAAATTGCTTTTACATAATCGGGACGAACATTTTTGTACTGAAGATAATAAGCATGCTCCCATACATCAATTCCAAACAGTGGAATTAAACCTATTAAAAAATACATATATACATATATATTTTCTTAATANTGAAAATTTTACTTCTTTAGTTTATTATAAATTTAAAAAGTATCATTAGAATCTCTAGCCCAGTGATTCTCAACCTTTTTTCGTCATGGTACACTTTTAATAATTAAAAATTTGGCGGCACACACAGTTACTTCAGTAAGTACCATAGGACAACCAGTGACATAATAACAGTGATTTTTAAATGCAGTTGGTTATTTAGGTAATATTTTCTAAATGCCTTGGTAACTACCAGCAGTTACTGGTAACACCGGTTAGAATTTCCAAATGCATCCTAAGATGGTAGAACTGATTGAACTACTTGTCTGATGTCGCTTATGTATGGGTATTTGCAGTGGCGGCACACTTCAAAAATCAGTGGTTGAGAATCACTGCTCTAGCCATGATTAACATTTGTTAAATTAAATTTTCTCATCTTTTCCCTAAAAATAAAATAAAAACAAAACTCAGAAAAATATCTATATTCTGTAAGAATGAACAAAATAAATACTGAATTAGCATTGAAAAATGTCTTATTGAAATCTTTAAATGAAATTGGACAGATGCTAAATTGTAGTAAGAGCTACCTACTTGAAAAATAGTTTATTATTTGTCATTGATATTTGCAACCGTTGTTCATATTCAAAAAGCTAAAATTTGCATATCTGTGAAAGCATTAACAAAAGAATAGAAAGATAATTAAATGATTTTCAATGTTTTTACCCTAAATGTATTGTTCTACAAATCATGTCTTTAGTCACTAAACCTTGTGGGTGCTATCTTGTAGTTTTTTGTCTTTTGTTTTAAATCAAATATAATATAGGTACCAATTCAACTTTATATACAGCAGAAAACAACATTTTAAATACATATACCCTTGATGTTCATGGATGTCAATGTTCAGGAATTCAATCATTCATGATCGGAAATTTATAGACCAAAATTTCAACTTTTGTGAGAAGTTTTGACCTTTCAGGAAAAGAGAGATTACGTATTACTGCAAACTAGAGTTGGCATCTGTGCAAACTGGATGTTCAAATAGGTGCAATGCTAACGATCACTACACTCATTCATTTGTATGATGTCATAAGTTGTTAGGTTTTTTTTTTTCTTTTAGCTTAAATAAAATGACTTTTGCAATTCTATAAGCTGTTGCACAGTATATTTATTTAATAAAACCATTCATTTTTCTGAAAAGTTTTTAAAACAATAATAATATATAGAATCTTAGAACAAATTACAAATTTAACATAAAAATGAAACTCAAAGTTTGAGAATTCAATATTCATAAAGGATTACACAGTTAAGATAACTACTTCCAACAATTTAACACCTCGTTGAATAATAACGATCCACGAAAAAACCTTTTTTACGAGGGTTATTTTCACTATTAAGTTCCACAAGTACTTTCGACCTCCACCGAGGTCTGCTTCAGGTGGTGACTGTCGACCCGACTGTTGTAACGATGTTGCCAACGATGTAAATAAATAAACGTGCGCGTCGGGTTTCACCCCTCCGACCGCCATTGCTCGAACTCCTCGAATAAATACTTCCACGCCTGTGCAAGTGTTTCCCCGTCCTTGTAGTTGATGCAGTTGCCCCCCCTGCTAGCTTTGTGAATCTCCCAGGCCTCCAGGTGACGGATGTGATCCGCGCGGAACACGTGTCTGATAACTATGGTGTTCCGGAAGNAGACACGTGTTCCGCGCGGATCACATCCGTCACCTGGAGGCCTGGGAGATTCACAAAGCTAGCAGGGGGGGGCAACTGCATCAACTACAAGGACGGGGAAACACTTGCACAGGCGTGGAAGTATTTATTCGAGGAGTTCGAGCAATGGCGGTCGGAGGGGTGAAACCCGACGCGCACGTTTATTTATTTACATCGTTGGCAACATCGTTACAACGGTCGGGTCGACAGTCACCACCTGAAGCAGACCTCGGTGGAGGTCGAAAGTACTTGTGGAACTTAATAGTGAAAATAACCCTCGTAAAAAAGGTTTTTTCGTGGATCAGATTACACAGTCGTCATTATTCTGAAACATGGGATCAGTGTATTTGTATATATATATTTTTTTCATTACAAAGTTTAGGAGCAAACTATAAAAAACAAATAAATAATTCACAAATTTAAAGGAGAGACAAATATAATAAAAATTTCTATTTAAGCATAAAATGTAAAAATAATTCATAAAATACATAATATCAAGCAATATGAATATTTTCAGAGCTTAACTCTAAGCTCTGAAATGTATTTCATAAACTAATCAAATGCTGGATTTTAAAAGTTTTTGTCTGTCTCTAATTATTATTCAATCAGTACTTACTTTTAGCTTGAGCTTCTGCTAATTTCTCTTCGGCAATATTTAAATTATTAACATATGCAGCATGGTGTTTCTGGTGATGTAATCGCATAATCTCGGCAGATATAATTGGTTCAAGAGCTCCATAATCATAGGGAAGATCAGGTAACGTATGTTTAAAGCAAACACTTTGACTACCAGCAGCTGCCAATAGTTTGGTACTAAATAAAAAGCAAGATATCTGTTTACATAAAATGATAGCATGTAACATTAACATAGAATTTATTTATTTTTCTAGAATTTGTTACTACTAACTACTAAATTCAATATATACAAAGTTACAAAATATTTTATTATTGATAAAAAATATTCTTAAATCTAAATATAGAATACATTTTGTTGCAGATTAATTCTGTGCTAATTTTAAAATTTTATTTTTCATACTCCATTAAAAATATTTTACAAAGTGTAGAGCTTATCACAGTATTGACACAACTTACAGTAGAAAGTTTTTGACATAAAAGTAAATATTTAGAATGATGCTGTTATTTTTTGTTTTTGCTCTCCACCTTGTGACCACTAAAGAAGGTACCATTGTAGGCTCAGCTGGGCCTATAATATGGGATGGTGAGCCCAACATTTAGAGGATAGACTGTCTATTAAAAATTTCTGGGAAGTTGCTTGAATTTAATCCCAGCCAACCAGTAGTAGGTCGACCTTAACTGCCTCAGTCATCCAGCCATTCCATAGCAAAACTACTAAAGTGAATGGGCAAACATCTAGGTACATGCTAAAAAATATCAATTGAATAAAAATATATTAGCATCTTTTACTTAAACCAGTGTTTCTCAACCTCTAACGAATCGCCGCCCCCTTTAATAAGACCGTTACGTAGTATCGCCCCCTTCACTACAAAATTCTGATGCTGAAGGACAAGGCTAACACCAAATTCGTACAGCATTGAATAGACTAGTGACTAGTATAATGTTATTTGTTTAATTATTATAACAAATAAAATATCTAATTATTCTTAATATAATGTTTTACTATATCGCCCAGAAAATTGTTTTTTGCCCCCCAAAATATAAATTGTTACTAATCGCCCTCTCAACATGGAAAAACGCCCCCATTGAGAAACACTGACTTAAACTTAAACTGATATTATCAACTATAGACTTCAGTTCTCATTATGTAAATAAGATCAAATAGACATACAGACACTAACTAGTGATGTGACCATATTGTTTATCACCCAAATTGGGATAGTTTTTAAGAGTGAATAAAAAAAATAGGTCTAAAATGGCCAATTTTAAATTGTATTTTTAAAAAATATTTATATATTTATCTATAAATTAGTTATATTGCATTAGATGTATAAAATGGTTTTGTTTAATATTTTTCTATTTTTGAGGATTTAAAACAGCAGAAAATCCAGGACTGTCTCGAACAAACTGAAATGTATGGTCATCCTATATTAACTGAAATCATTTATTTGAATTTTGACAAAAACTGAACTGATGTAGGACAAATGACTGAAAACATTTTTCAACATAAAACTGATTTTATACATTCTGTTGAATTGATAAAGGAAGAACAGAACTTGAAAAGTATTTTCTTTTATTTTAATAATTTAAATGAAAGATGTCAGTTGAGTTCTTTTAGGATTATTTGTGTTATGTTAATGTGCATTTCATATAATTTTCTATAAGTAATGGAAATATATTTTACTGCTAATTTTTGCATTGAATATTAAATGGTGATTGTAAATAGAATATGACATGCTGATATAATTTGTTCTGTACAAAGGATATAATAATGTTGCAGAATGCTTGTACTAAAATCAGTAACCAAACTTTCCTATTTTACTTTCTTAATCATAATTTATGTTGTTGATATGATAAAATCATAATTTTGAATCTCTTTTTAATACTATTTATGAGCTACTAGACTTTTAGACAGTGAATTTATATTATATGATAACAAAAACAAAACAATTTCATTATCCAACAAACATGCAACTGAATTAACAACAGGTTATAACCCGCTGTTAATATCATAAACCTCCCACAACCCAGCAAGTTATAAACTAGCAGCATTCCAGGCACTTGTAGAGCATACACGCATGCAACTAAAATAACTTGATTTAGCTCTACTAAGAATCAAACATCAGAAAAATATAATGGATTTTGTCTTGTCATTAGAATACTTTTTGAACCCTTATTATTTATTTTTTTTTATATCATATAATTTTCTTCTTTCCTTAACTATCAAACTAATTAAATTAAGTCATTTAACCCAACTGGACTAAGAATGAATGTAAGTTCAAAAATACTAGCAAATTTTTTTGTTTGATTTTAGATCAATTAAAGCATTTTATGTTCAATGTATTTAAGTGAAATTAATAGTTCATAATATACAAAATATAGTATAAGGTTAGTCAATAGTTGTAGATCATTGTTTGAAGACTGTGATAAAAATGTTAGTTTTATTAAAAAAGCAAGGTTTTATTTACACAAATTAGAAATTAACTAGTCAGTCTTTGGATGATCTTCCATCTTAGGGTCAACCTGTGTACCACCAAGGTGCACAGGTTGACTCTGACATGGTTTTTCTTTCAATGTACATCATATATTGTACATAAGACAAATGAGCCTAAGCACAAGACTGCCCCGACTTTCCTATTAGAGAATACTTCAACAAATTCAGTAAATGACTAGCTGAACACAAATAGATACGACCTCCTCAAAGTCAAAACTTAATATTGAAAAATTCACTTTGAGGCATTGCAAAAAAGAAAACTTCTCAACTACATTACAACAGTTGACCTAAAATCAATTACCAGAGTATTTTGATGAGCTTGTGGTCATCAAAATACTCTGAATACACAGAATATATACAAAACAGAGATAAAAATTAGTTTGTGCAGAAAAGAGCAGAGAACATAAAGATGGTAACTAGTTGCACAGACAACTTCGTGGCTACTTTGTACATACCAAGGAAGTTAAAAACACATGCACGAATGACACCAACCCGATAAGTTTCTTCGTGTTATTTAATTTCATTATTTATCACAACCATAAGAATATTCTATACAAATATCCATAATCACAGAGGTTAAATTGCAGTTCTGAAAAAATAAGTCGGGATCCCATGTGTAGATCATGCTCGTAAAAGTAAAAACAGTTAAAGAAACCAACAATCTACACGTAACCCTTTGCAAAATATAGTCCCTCTGAATTCAGCCTACAAACACTCAACGGGCTTTAACAGAACAACTCTGATTGCACCTGGTAGTCGGTGCAAAGGCATTTTGCACGTTTAGCCAGCTTTTAGCCATATCTAGTAAAGTGGAAAACTGTCGATTTTTTGCAGTTTTGTGAAATATTTCCAGAGTTTTTCACTTTTAAATTCTACCACATTTTTGAGGATCTCCAAAATTCCACATAAGCCAATTTCGGGGAGCCATACCTCAGTAAGGGTCGCATTTAGACCATCAGTTCCTTTAACTTTTTTTTCTCCTAGGGACACGGCTCCAATAAAGTCCCAATCGCCTCGTTCTGAGCTGCAATTTTACCATAACAAGTTCATAAATTTGATTAAATATTTATTATTTATCAATATTCCTCTTTTAATTACAGTCATTATAGTTTCAATTCATATAAATCTGCTTATAATTTAATCATTGACTTACATGGTGACATTCAACAATTACATCTATTTATAGAATCACAGCTATTGAGTTATAAACACAAATTTCCGGAAAAACAACGTCCATTAACGCTATTAATTACTTATTACAGTAGAAGTTACTTTTAGTTAAATGATATATGTACTTGAATACGTGAAAAGTATCTAAAAGTAACTTGTACATTTTATTAGTAACAACACAATACATAAAATTACTTTAATCATTGGAATTTTATAAATGAATTTTACCGATTTGCAAATTTTGTGATATTTCGCACACTTAACATTTTATTACTGAACTCTGCGCTTATATAAAACTGTTAAGTGTTAATATGGCACGCCGTTATCGTCTGCAAGATGGCACTTTGTTACTTTCACGTTTTTATTTATTTATTTTTTAAAATTGTATTTAATAAATTTTATAAATATATTGGAATATTTTAAATGTGAAAAATTTAATTATTTATAATAATTAATAATAGTTAACACAAATAAAATTAATTTGAACTCTTTCCACCCTTTGGGCACTAAGAGGGCGTCTTTTCAGCAAGTACATCATGGGTTCGGCCAGGCCACAATGGGGCGGCCAAGTGATGAGGGACAGGGCCCGACATATCCGGACGGACCACCTCCTAGGAATTTTTTCGATCCGTCCAGATTCGATCACGGACCAGAGCGATATACTGCCATCTTGACCGCTCCCTCCGTGTCGGCACTAAAATGATTATTCCACGTCCAACATGGAAAAATCAGATGTAAATGGCAATTGGCGAGTCAAACCGGCCCGTGTAAACTTCCTGAGGTTCCCGATAACGGATGTAAACCCGGGCCTTTCAGAAACCACTTTAGTCAGTGCGTTACTAAAGGAGAGTGTACTATGCCCACCCTCGCTCTCCTTTAGTTACCTTTCTGAACTGAAGTAAAAGATACATCCAAAGTTACGTCGCTTTAGGCCAGCGACGTAACTTTGGACCAGGGCCGGATTAACCCACTTTGGGGCCCTAGACATTTTCTTCTTACGGGCCCCCTTTCTCACACTAGAAATAGAGCACACAAAAAATATAAAACAATAAATAAAACAAAACTAAATAATGTGAAAAACTAAAACAAATCTTAAATTTTTATTAATAAAAAATATTTAATAGACAACAATAAATTTTAGTTTTTCTAGAAAAGTTTGAACAGTTTGTTTATAAATTTAAAATATTGAAATTTGTTTTATTAAATGTCTAACAAAAGTTGTTGTAAAATAACAATATTACCTTAAAAAAAATAATTGTCAACAAGACTATGTCTTGTTTATAAAATCGTACTGCTTGCTGTGTTACCAGCTTAGAGGTATGAAGGAGTACATGTCAGGAGTTGCAATTTGGCACAGAGTATTAAGTGCCCAAATCATGCGCGCATAAAAAAACCTGACTTGTAGGTACTCGGGACCGAGAACCGAGTGAAAGTAAAATACAAAATGGCGACTCTCTCTACAAACAGGCAAACCGAAGTCAGGTGGTGAGAGTACCACCCACAGTCGTTCAAGGAAATGGACTCTGACCCTAGGACTGAACACGTAGTATTTTCTTTCTTAAATAAAATTTGTAATCTAATTTTGTAAATTTGGGAGTGCTTCAAATATGACATTAAAACAGGGTTTTATGTCGTTACAAGTAGGTTTTTTAACATTGTCTAGTATAGTAAAATCGTGGGACCAGTAAAAATTTGACGTTATAATCAGGTTAAACTGTATATTGTTTGTGCAAAATAAAAAAAAAAATTTCGGACGATACAATAGCCACGATTATTTTTTTCAAAGACGAGAAATTTTCGTTAGGCATCGACAAAAATTCAACCCGGGCCGACACGCAACGGAGAGAAATTTCGAAATTGGATAGGTTAATTTCATCGAAAATGCATGGTGGACGACCTCGTGGTCGTGGCTGGCGAAGTTTGAACGATCGCGCCCAAAAGCAGCGATACCAAAGAAGATTGGAGAATGAGAAAGAGATCCGCTTTGAGCGTCAAAGTGATTCCGCTTAGTAGTGTCTCCGAGACATAGTCGTGTCCCAAATACGGTTTTGCCGTTTTACTTGTTTAATTTAACCTTTTTGGTTAATATTTAAATAATATAATATTTTACCAGTTTTACCAGTATTATACAGTTGTCCAACAGAAGAGTAATCTATCTTATTTACAAATCTTTTCAAAATAGACAGTTTGACCGGGCCCTTCTAAAAACCGGGCCCTAGACATTTGTCTCATTTGTCTATGCGATTATCCGGCCCTGCTTTGGACCTTTGGACCTGAATGTATCTTTCACATCAGTTCACTTCAGTTTAGTTTACTTATATATCCTCCACCTTTGTTTCCCTTTGAGCTTGAAGAATCCATGATTGATATGATTTAAAAAGGAGCACTTAGTGGTCAAGTGGCGGAAAGGGTTTTTAAAAAATCATTATAACATAAGCAGGAAAAATGAGATAAAAGCTAACTTTTGAAGATTATTTTCCCATGAATAGTGTTTTCACACATTCTTTTAGCACCAGTTAGGCCTGTATCAGATTATTTTACTACTTTTCCCCCTCGTGAGTTTTTTAAATTGAACGTTGCATGAATTTGCATGAAAATTGAATGTTGCATGAATGACATTGAATTGAACGTCGGAGAACAACATTGCAGTGGCGTGTCGTCATTAGAAGCGGTGGAAGCTCCGCTTCCTTTGTATTTTCTAAGAAATAAATACATATTAATTTTAATTATGTGAAAATAATCGCACAATATTTTATTATAACCGCATTATGTATCTTATTACAAATTTCTACACTACATGTGAAAAAAATAAGATTGCTATTGTATATTCGAATATTAGTGGAGGAGTGGAAGCGCCGTATTGTCAGCTTCCAAACAGCCAGATTCGCGCACGCGCTTTACAGAACACCAACCTCACCCGGTTTAGCCGGTGGAAGCCTAGGATTTTGGGTGGATGCTACACGTATAATGCTTCCAATTCTGTCCAAGACCGGTTCTGGGCTGTTAGCCGTCTGTCCGATAGATATTTGGCCCATCATATGAATCACGAGTAGATTTATAACTTAACCCAACCGATAAGAATTTACTGGTACATTTTTATGTAATTCTGTATAGTTGACAGGAGTTTAAAAAATTCCATTAAAATATTTGATATTTTTATTCCGCTCTCCCATCTTAAGCCTGGTACCCACATGCGGCAACGGACGACGGAAATCGTTGACGGAAACGGTTGCCGTTCCGTCGTCTTTCCGTGTCTTGTGTACTCACATGCGGAAATTACCCTACAATTGAAACGCGCCATCTGCCAGCCGTAAATATAAACAAGCTACTACAGTAGGTAGGCCACGTGCCCAGTAGTCGAAAATCGCGTCTACCGGGATTGCTTTGTTATATCAATTAAACTTTTTAAGTTTGCCTTCGATCTTATTGCAAATAAAAAAACCTGAAAAACGAATAATTTGGATAGGAAAAATATTCTAAATCGTCGAAAGTTAGGAATATCGAATACCTTAGTCGCCGAATTACGCTTACTCCATTCTCAATACTTTACGCAGTAAGTCTATTTGACATTAATATTTAAATCGGATAGTAATATAGCGTATAAATGAAATATATTAGCGTATTAGTGTACAAATAAAGCTTTTTAGCTTGCCGACCGCCATAGTTCGAACGCTATCGTCCCACGTGATCTTTATGACGACATCGCTAAACGGTCCTCCTATTGGTCTAATTTTTACCGTGCCGCTTTCCGTCGCGGCAAAAGTTGAAAATTTTCAACTTCGTATTCCGTCGACGTCGACGGCAAAAGTGACGTCATTTTGCCGTTCCGTCGACCGTTTCCGTCGTCCGTTGCCGCATGTGGGTACCAGGCTTAACTGTGTCCACGGTAGAGAAAAGAAAGTAAGATGCTGCGAAGATGCAAACAAGTGTGACGTCTCAGTCGAAAATATACCTATAGTCATCAAAAAGACGGGAGCAATAATTTTGTTCTAAATATTTTAAATGTTATTCAAATCGATCGATGGATCGATTTGCCGAGTAGACGGTCGGTTAACCGATGCGACGGTTAATCGAGGGTCGTATAATCGATGCTCTACTGTAGATGCTGTTTGTTTGATTGATTATGGCAGACCAACACTTTGTTGATCTGCCTGGGAGGGTGCCTTCCGGGAGGTCTTTTAAGGGAAACTGGCCCCTATTCAGGCGTTAGGGACGTGGAGAAAACCCGGAAAACTCCACGTGGCCAGCCCGTCCGAGCGAGGTGCGAACCGCGCCGAACTCCCAGTGTTCAGGATACGAAGACCGCTAGGCCACTGGTCGGCCCTTAAACAGATACACAACAAACCAAAGCCAGATGCACTACTTAAACCAAAATTTCTCGCACAACAACCAAGGATCTTGAAGACTGATTTGACTGCACAAGTTTTCCTCGACCCTTATATACATTTTTCAACGTCATCATCGGTGTGTTTCAGCATTGGTTAACTTCTCTGCTTATCATCAAAAATTATCATCTTCGAAACAGCACAGTGACAGTCTGTTTGACATTATCCATCATTTTACAAAGCAAAAGTTATTTGGTATGTACCCCTGTAGCGTGCCGTGACATTTCATGATAAGGAAGCTGTGTTTTTATAAGAAGCCGACTTCCAGGAGCAATCAATTAATGTTTTTTTAAACGTATTTTTAATACAGTGGAACCCCTATAAGACGAGTTCCTATAATTACAGTTCCTATAAGACGGCGAAAAAATTGTGGCGGTATCCGTACACAACGGTAAAAAATCCTCTTATAATTACGTAAAACGTCATCGGGCAGCCGAACTACTTTCCCGCCGTCTAGCGCCACGCTACGCACAGTTTAGGCGGTTAAATTGAGTTTAGTTTCGTCTGTACATATAATTATATATAAATTAGGTACTGTATATATAATTATATATTAACTTAATTTATTGTAACTTTATTATAATTATGTATATATGCTCTCCGCCGTCTAGCGCTACGCTACGGAGAGTTTAGGCGAACTATCGTCTGTACAGTATGTAAATTAGCTACCGTAAGTCTAATACAGTACTGTAATTTTATACATTTCGTGTGAAAGAAACATTCCTTATTCAACGGCGATTAAAATCTATATATATAAAAATGAATGTATGGTTGTCTGTCTGTGTGTGTGTGTGTCATTCATGCATTACCACACCGTTTATCCGGTTGGCGTGAAACTTTGGGAAGTTGTTTAATATACTCCAGCGAAGGTTTGTGGCATAGTACGATTGCCATGAAGCTTTGAAAAGTTTTTTAATTTTTGAATACACTCCCGCGAAGTACATTTATCCTACGATAGATGGCGCGCGTTTACACGAGCATTCGCGCACAGTGTGTTCGATCGATTTCAAATTGTAAAGACCATTGTCCCCCTTCAAAAAATATCTGTATATATGCATTTTTAAACTGTTATTTACGATATTTATAATAATTTTTTTTAATCACTTTGATTGTTGCTGCTTCCCTCGTGTTACATAATTTTTTTTTAACCGAAAGCAGCACAACATACTGTCCAACAGGTTTTGTCGACACAGAAGATTCGGATCATTCAGTCAATCTGGGACAATGGCGTGATGAGCAAAAACACTTACATAAATGTGGTTGGCAAAAATCTAACACATATAGTTGTGACGCAAAAGTGTTACGTGACAAACTTGCACAATATTTATGTACTGAAGGTGCCGTAGAATGGCAAGATAGCTGTGTTTATCGAGGCCTTGGTTAAATTTGTATAATGTAAAAATATTTGTAAAAAATTTTGTTTTGTATATATGAAAGTAATGGTTTATAAACATGATTTATTTTAAAAGTATATGCTAAATGATTTACTTATTGTGTTGTTTATGTATTTCTTTTTTCAAACATAAAAATTCAGTGTTTTTAGTACCTCATGTCTATCTTTATTTGACAATTCCCGTAATATTATATGAAGGTTATCACAAAATCTGTTCTTTTTCATGGAACTATTATCAGTTGTTGTGATGTATCTTCAAATTTTTCTGTATAGTTGAAATTAATTAATATGTTCTAACTAAGTATCCAATAATAATAATGAAATCATATCAAATTAAAAGTTTAATAAAGTATATAATTCAGTTATTTTAATTTACTAAATATCAAGCAGACAAAAGAACATATTTATTGTTTGGTTTGGTGTTCCAGCAGGTGGCTACCCAATGATTATTTAAATATAAATAGATAAACATTCTTATAAAATGCACATGATGTGAATCTATTCAGATTTGATACCATCAGATTTGTTTAAAATGTTATATTAAAAAGTGCAAACTAATTCTAGTAAGCATAATTAAGTTAGCAAGTTTCTTATATTTTGGATACGATTTTCTACAGAGCTGTTTGATGAAAATATGAGCTCTCAATTAATCCAGATCTCATGGATGTAATTGAGTAGTTTATGGTAACTTTAGGCATGCTTTCTTTTTAGGGTGGTTATCCTTTGAAGAAAGTGTTTTTCATGATCATTCTGTGATTGTTTTAGTTATGATTATACTTTTGATTATTTATTAATTTGATAATTTGTTTCGAGAATTTTAACTAATACTTTTTTAAATTGTATGAGAGTGAGTCAAAAAGTAAGTTTCATTTTTCTATTCTAAATAGCCTGTTAAGGAAATTTATAGTGTAAAAATAAAAAATAAATGATAACTTTTTGTATATTTAAAATTTTTTACTCTTTCAATAATTTATCTTCTATTTTTAGCATCATAAATTCAATATTTTTTATGACATGATGCCTGTCTTTTTTACTCAAATCCCGAAGTCTGACATGTAGACTTTTACAAAATAAGTCTATTCTGTCTTCTTGTTTGCTTTCAGTTAGGAGTTTGGATGTTGCATTGAAAACTTTCAATGCAACATTCGACATGTTTTCACTTTTTTGTGAAGTTTTCTGTTTTTTTTTTACAGGGGCTTACAGGCATCTCAGATGTCTCATCTCTATAATAATAACAGCAGTTGTTATTATCTATTTCAGTTATTTGTTATAAATTTAAATTTTTTTGTACAATTTCACTTACATTTCACAAAAAGATTCTGTTGTATCAGAAATGTTCATATTTGCACTTTCAATCTGTTGGCTGATTGGTTCATCATTTCCTATAGTGCTGTTAAAATAAATTGCCATCATTATTTCTTGATAAATGATTACTACACTAAAATTTTATTTAATGGTTTTTTAAGTAATGTACTATTTTAATATTCTAAAGCAACACTGATTATTCAATTCTATGTTTGAACTAAGAAATTAAAATATTAACCATTGAAAACTACTACTATCAATTTTATTAATATCTTAAATAAATTATAAATTAATTATAACTTATAATCATCATACCTCTAAGATCTCTAAGATTTTTCCATCTTTTTTCGGCACCATCTCCTAACAACATTCGGTATATTTAATAAAATTAGTAATTACATTAGTAAATTTAAAATATAACAATTATAAAACGTGTTATAGTTTCGTATATATAGTCATAATTATAAATCAGTACTTACCGCTAATTCCGAAGTGCTCTCCAATTGCAGTCCATATTGTTTTTTTTTAATGTCGGATCTTTAAAATCCGAACATTTTTTGTCATACAGACACGGATATTTTCGAACTGTTTCAACAAAATACTCGTTATTAAACATGACACGCTTTCTCTTCGTGCTGGCCGCCATAGTTTGAATGATCTCTATGACGACATCGCTAAACGGCCTTCCTATTGGTCTAGTTTTTACCGTGCCGCTTTCCGTCGCAGCAAAAGTTGAAAATTTTCAACTTCGTATTCCGTCGACGTCGACAGCAAAAGTGACGTCATTTTGCCGTTCCGTCTACCGTTTCCGTCGTCCGTTGCCGCATGTGGGTACCAGGCTTTATATTACTCACGGATTTCAATGTTAAACCAGTGATATTACGATTTCGTATATCCCATCTTTAAGAGAATGTAGAAAAATGTTTACAATTCTTGTATAATGTTAAAAAATTAACTGTTACTTTGGTAGCATCATTTACAACTAAATTTAACCGGTATCGGCACCCTCGGGATTTGGCATGCACACCTACCAAGACCGTCTCTGATTCCATCCACGAGCCACTCACTGGTAGGGAGCAATTTTAACTAAATGGATTGTTTTAATATTTAAAAAGTAAAGAATATTTTGTTATTTTTATGTACAGTACGTTTCTTCACAAAACTATACTTAATTATAATTTTCTTTAAAAGTATATTCATACAATTGAATATTTTGTACCAGGTATGTATAATTGTATATCCATCACACATTTTATTTTGACAAGTAAGTATTTATAATTTTATTTTTAATTTTAGCCCTTATATATGGCTAGCGATTTAGAATGTAATTGTGATATTGAAAATTTATTTTAAAAAGTTTTGGTTCGAGACCATATAATGAAAAAGAAAACATTATTAAAAGAGAAAGACTAATGCCTAAATTAAATATAAATACGTCAACAAAGAAATTTGTTAGACATTTTGACGATAAAATTTATGAAGACATAAAATGGCTTTGTGGATGCATAAAAATGCAAAAATTGTTTTGTTGGCCTTGCCTATTATTTTCAAATAAAATTAGTAACGATTTAAATAATTTGAGTAAAGCTGGCAAAAGACACGAAAATCGTAAATCTCGCATCGATTCTTTCGTAAAATTGAAGCAATTTGGAAATCAAAATAGAATAGAATTTAACATTAGTAAACAATATAAAATAAATATTGAAAATTATAACAAAGTTACAGCTAATAGATATATTATATCTAANATTTCAATGTTAAACCAGTGATATTACGATTTCGTATATCCCATCTTTAAGAGAATGTAGAAAAATGTTTACAATTCTTGTATAATGTTAAAAAATTAACTGTTACTTTGGTAGCATCATTTACAACTAAATTTAACCGGTATCGGCACCCTCGGGATTTGGCATGCACACCTACCAAGACCGTCTCTGATTCCATCCACGAGCCACTCACTGGTAGGGAGCAATTTTAACTAAATGGATTGTTTTAATATTTAAAAAGTAAAGAATATTTTGTTATTTTTATGTACAGTACGTTTCTTCACAAAACTATACTTAATCATAATTTTCTTTAAAAGTATATTCATACAATTGAATATTTTGTACCAGGTATGTATAATTGTATATCCATCACACATTTTATTTTGACAAGTAAGTATTTATAATTTTATTTTTAATTTTAGCCCTTATATATGGCTAGCGATTTAGAATGTAATTGTGATATTGAAAATTTATTTTAAAAAGTTTTGGTTCGAGACCATATAATGAAAAAGAAAACATTATTAAAAGAGAAAGACTAATGCCTAAATTAAATATAAATACGTCAACAAAGAAATTTGTTAGACATTTTGACGATAAAATTTATGAAGACATAAAATGGCTTTGTGGATGCATAAAAATGCAAAAATTGTTTTGTTGGCCTTGCCTACTATTTTCAAATAAAATTAGTGTG